CTGTAACGTTAGTTATAGCCTGAAAAATCTTTATACGAAAAATATCATGGAAAGCAAAAAAATGTTAACGCACCCCCGAACAATCCCACATGGCTTTCCGCACAAAGGAAACCGGAGCTCCGGCCACCGACTACGGCCGGGGGCAGAAGCGCCGCGACGCCGGCACCGCCGCCCCATAAATCCGACGCGACAGATGGGGGCGCGCGCGGTTTTCCGGGGCACTCCCGCCCCCTAGCCCCGCCGCTAACAAATAGCTTTGCGACATCATATTTACACCCTCGCCGCTACAAAAATAATATATGTCCGTTCGAATCATTGAACACGCATCCTTCCCAGTAACTTAAAGGTAAACTTGATATATAAAATACCTACAATAAATAGGTGAGAGAGAGAAATAACATTGCCTAACTGAGGCGAGAGTAATATTGCGAGAATTAGCGAAAAATGTACAATTCAGAGACTAAATTAATAGGCGTGATGCTGCCTGAGAGGGTTCACGGGCGTCTCCTCGTGACAAAATAGAAAGTTAAGATCTGCCATTCGAACAAGACAAAAAAACACATGGCCGTCAAGGGTGGTATTTTAAGTGTTTTGCAGGTCAATTTAGCGAAGCGTGTGAAAGCATCCCTTCGTGATCAACTTCCAATTTTGTATACATTAGGTAGTAGGATAATTTTAACATATTTACAAAACTAATACTAGGTGTTTATCAAAATAGTAAAAAAAACAAATGCGTTTGAATTGTATTCGAACATCTAAAAATAAATACAAATTATGTTAAAATGAAACCTACCCTTACGCATTTTTAAAGTCTCGTACCATTTCACTAAAAATCCAGTCAATGTTCTTTACCCAAATTTTCCACGGTAGGATTTAAAAGACACTTAAATAATAATGTCACAAAAATATAAATACATGTATACACATACACATTTCTAAAAGTTTTATTTCACATTTTTTTTATAAGTCAATTCTTTCTCTAAACGTTTTTCGAAATTTAAGCAATTATTTTCTTTTAACCGCATGATTTTACAAACTAAACACCATATGCTGTCTATTTGAAAATATCTATTCCAGAATCAGTCAACAAGAGTTCATCGTTTATCCAGAACCAGAAAATTATGAATTATTACCTACATAAATTTCGCAATGCATCTCAAACCTTCGGCTACGACAAAGCTACGGCAACTAAAACTAATTTTTTTTCGATATTAAAAATTTAAATATTGATTTACATTGACTAAACCAAACATTATACGCGATAAACGATACAAAAACCTCTAGGTTGTTTTAAAATTTGAGTTTTTATAAACACCCAAACTGCCCAAACGGCGAAATTTTTCCAGCGATATGACTGAAATCCTGTAATATATTTATATAGAAATAATGGCACTCGATATTTCTTAATCAACTATATTGATTCTCAACTAATAAACAATATTACAAATTACAAATAATAACACGCTGGTTTCTAGACAAAGACAAAACTGCCACTTTTTATATTGTCTTTCAGTAAACTACCGAATACAAGTGAATAGAATAGAAATCCGTTTGTGAATAATGCGGTCAATGGCCAATATAAACTATATCTATCGCACCTTAACCCATTATATTTTCTATACGTAGTATACCTTACCTTGTCGTGCACTTGGAGTTTAATCACAGGTTTAATACGTGCAAAATATAGCGGGAACTAAGGACAAAATTAAATTTTGACCGGCAGTAGAGAAAATGAGTAAAATAAAATGTTTTCAAGCGAAAATTGGATAGATTGGGAATAGTTTTGAATATTTTAGGATGAAAAAAAAATTATTTACAAAAAGTATAATTTAAATAAGTTTTTCTAATTTTCTCCTGATTTCTTTTAGGGGGGCATTGACCATTTGACCTCATGGTTAAGCCGACACTGGACTTAAGGCTCGTTCAGACGGCGACCAGATCCCAGTGGCGGCTCGTCAGGTGCAGTAGGTAAAGGGGCACTTCACCGAAAAAATACTCAAATTAAAGAAAAAACTTTACTGCTTAAAATATTAATTTAGTTTAATATATTTACATGTATCTAAATAATAAAATGGTAATTTTTCATATATTATTATTTTTCCGGGCGGGCCTCTGCATAATAAATAGCTAGCACGAAGCCACAAGTGAAGTGAAAATATTTCAATATTTGTGAGTCAAGCGGCTGCACGGTTTCCATGGTAACGTGACGTCAGCCTAGCGGCAGCGTGTAAGTCCCCCGCCCCGAAATTTTTTATCGGCGACCGATGTGAATGAGTTTTTGGTTGGTTTTTGGGCAGTTCTTTTCGTCTTCCTTTATGCTAATATTCGGCTACTTCGGCCAGTAATTAACCGTGTAAAGACTGTAAAATTGTTGTTGATTATTTATTGTTGTTTGTTAATTGGTTTTTGTTGATTTAACTTGTTAATTTTTGCTGTTTGTTTTGTTATTGTGTTTTAAAACTGTTTTGTGTGTGTATGTGTTAAAAAATTTATATTTAATTTAAATTTAATTATATTTTCACTGGAATGCAAAATAATGTGTTTATCGAAAACTGGTCGTATCTCTTTTTACTTAGTGCGTTTTAGGCCAAACTAAAAGGAAAATATTATAGGTATTAGTGTTTAAATAAAAAAAAATGTTGACAAAATGGTGAATGCGCCAAAAAAAATTCCCTGTCGCGCAATTTAAAAAAAATTAACTCTTCACCTATTTTTATACCCACTGCCAGATTCTGGCATTGTCGCGATGCGAATACCTCTCGAATTTTTTTTTTCTCATATTTTTTTAGTATTGAAAATACGACTGGGATTATTTTTATGTAAAATTAACATTGGCTGTCGCGACCTCGACACCGAAGCAGCGATATCGCTTGTGTGTGTATGTTTAATGTTAACCCTTAATGTTTGGCAAATGAATAATTTTGTTGGATGATTAATCATTTGGAAGATTAATAAATTGTGTTTCTAATTGTTTTGCAATTAAATGATAATTTTAGTATTAAAAATACCTTATTCTGGGATCATTTAATAAGTAATACAAGGGTAGTACATAAAATTCTCCTATCACAATTTTTGTGTGTTACTTATTATTATTTACTCCTCCGAAACGGCTTAACCGATTTTGATGAAATTTTATATGTATAATCAGTGAGTCTGAAGAATAGGTTGTTAGCTATTTTTTATACCCCTAAGTGATAAGGGTGGTCCACCCCAATTTTTTTTATTTTTTGAACAAAAACTTATATTTTATTTTTTGAACAAAAATTTATATTTTATTTTTTGTATGATTCGACCCCTAAGTGATAAGGTAACCTTAGCTAGTAGAGATCATGTAGAGAATGAGAGATGATGGTAGAGGCACGTAGAGGTGCTAGTAACCTCTAGTAACGTCTCCCCCTCCCCTCTCTTATTCACCCTTGCAAAAAAATCAGGTAATGGTGTGGATCCGGTGGCTGACCTTGAAACGAGTTTTTGCTGCATATAGTCACAGACACTACGCATGCGCATATCTTCGATGTTGCCAGATTGCAAGTTATTTTGGAATTATTTTCAGTAGAAAACAAATATGTACTTTTCAGTGTTTTTTTTGTCAATATATACCGAATGATCGAAAAAATGGCGTCCAGTTGCCTGGGAAATGACGATTGAGAACATTTCCCATAAAATGACAGCGATCTTCATTTCATAGTCATCGCTGGCGCTATTTTTTTCAATCATAGTACGCCGGTATATTATTTATATTATTATTTTAATATTTCGCACAACACGTGAAACGTGAAACGTGAACGCTTATTATGTATTTTCATAGTCAATAAAATTAAATAGAAATAAAACTCTAGATTCCTATAATTAATCTAATTGCTCTAGATTATTATGCTACGTTTCAAAAGTGCTTTATTAAAAATTCGGGAAATTAAAAGGGATGTGTCCAAGTTTTTTCTTTTTTTTTATTTTTAAATGCTGTAAACTGTAGCTCCATGTCATGTTCATAATAGGTTTTTTAACATTCCATCAAAACTACGGAGGCCTTAAAAGGCCTTTTTAGCCTCCGTAATTAAAATTGTAGAATCAGCTTCAGCAACATTTACAGTTACCTTGTTTAATTCTGCTTATACATATATTGCATTAATTTTTCTGCTACCTTAAGATTTCTCTATTCTTACACCTAATTTATGTGATTTTCTTTTTTCTTAGCATAATATGATTTGGTTTGGTTGCAGTAATAAATAAGTTTTACTGTAATTTGGTGCAAATTACAGTAAATTAAGAAAAGAATATAAGTAATGTATATTCTACGACACAAATCATCTCCCTTCTAACGAGAAAAAGATAAAACATAAAGCTTATTTTAATCTTATCAACACACTCTTCGAAAAATTGCATTAATCCACTAACTTGATATTTTTAAGAAATTATGATACAAACGATACAAACATTATAATCAAAGTATATTATATTAGTAACATTATAGGTAAAATGTTACCTCAATATCTCCCATTGACGTGTATTGTTTAATAAGACTAGTCATGGTAGTATTTCAAAACATACCAATACATATAATCAAAACTATTGTTGCCTGTAAATAACTAGAAATTAAATAACTTGAAAGAAATAAAATAATTCTAATAAGTTTAAAACCATTAAGAAAAAATCCGCACATGATAATTTTTAATTCTAATGTAAATATATAAATAAATGTTATATTATTACAATTTTATATATTCATAATACTTTCATTTCACAATCTTCATTATCCTTCTTACCTTAATTTTGGATATCAAGATAAATCTGAAATTATAAAATTAATTATAGAATTTGTATTATTATTGATAAACACTCAAAAAAAAATTTTTCAACTGCAAATAATTCGAAAATAAACTGCAATTTGGCAACATCGACGATGTGCGCTTGCGTAGTATCGATGATCAAATGCAGCAAATATGGGCTTCAAGGTCAGCCACCGGATCCACACCTTTACCAAAAATCATATCTGTTTTACTGGTAGTATTAAAATGAAAGTTTTCTCATCAAAATCAAAGTGACATAAATTTCATTTCTAGTTTCTAGGTTAGAAAAATAGGTATATAAAAGTAAAATGAATAAAAATAGTTTAGTGGACTGCAAAGCAAATATCCTAAGTTTTTGTTTGTATTGTTAAGTTGCTATGTTATCATTTCCCGATTCTACCTGCTACGATTAAATCGTAAGTGACAGTACCAGAAATTTCCAGTTCACGAAATTTAAACTAAACCTTTTTACAGGCATGACAATTGGTGGTATAGGACTTGGCCTTTTCATTTTATTAATAACTTGGCTGATAGCTATAGTTATATTTGTAATAGGAATTAAATTACAAAACAACGTTTCCTGGATTGCATTGGGCTTGGCCACCATCTTTACCATTATTTTATTATGTATCCCGACGAAAAAAGAAACTGAAGAAATTAAACTTCAATTTGAGGTAAGTTTTTTCATATAATATATAATTAAAAAAGTGTGCTGATATACTTTATTTTTAGGAAAAGGATTATACCATTATTTACAAAAACCTTATTGTAATATTTTTATTTCTCAGCACTTTGGCAGCATTCTTCGTGTTTTTCATTGGATATTGTATCGAACCTGTTAGACCAAAATATTTTAAAAGTTTTCATGAAACTTGAAGATGACTGCTCATATGTTTCTTAGGGGGAGTTCAAAAGTTTTTGGGTTATGTAGAAAATTTTCTATATCAAACAATCTTAAAAGGATTATTAATATCAAAGGTAGAATTTAAAACTTAACTGTAGTATTTTACATGGAATAGGTTTTAGTGGCTCTAGATCTTAAAGAAATTGATTTTTATACTTAGGGAATGATGAATTTCTGTCAAAAGTAATGAATTCAGAAAATCCAGTCATAGTGAATTTTCATGCAGAATGGTGTGAGCCTTGTCAAATTTTAACACCTAAAATGAAAGAACTTATCGAACCCATGGACAACATTGATTTGGCAATAGTAGATGTGGAGGATCACGCAGAATTAGTACATACGTTTGAAGTTAAGGCAGTACCAGCTGTTATAGCTGTAAGAAATGGTCTGGTAGTAGATAAATTTATAGGTCTAGTCGATGCCACAATGATCGAAAGCTTAATAAGTAAGTTAGATATGAAATTATAGGTTATTTGCTAAGTTATTTTAAATTATTTTGATGTTTTTTTTTACATACAAAAGATAGTTTTGCATTAAAAAACATATTGTCAATATCCTATTTGTTGAGTTTTGTTTTTAATAAAACAGAATAAAATTTAATATTGCTCTTTTATTTTCAAATGAATTTAATAACTGCTGTGGTTTATGCTGTAAAAAGTTAATTTTATTTACAATTTATCATTAACAAGCAAACAAATATTGACTAACTTAATAAAAAATAGCATGTCAATAGTTTGTTCTAATTATGAATGATTATAAATTAATGATTAAGTATAATTATTACTCCATAAAATTGATATAAACTTGCCCATATGCATAAAAAATTTAGTTCTATAGTATTTAATATTCAGAACTCTATATTGAAACTGGTTTCCGGAATTTTTATCAAATCATCACTAGTGTTGAATGTTATGTCAACTGAAAGAAAAAATATAAATCAAAAAATTAAATAATAAATATAAAAAACTTACAATGTTCTTCCTTAAAAATCTGCTCACATTCTTTAAATTGCGAATACACCAAAACATATTTTTCTGTAAGTTCAAAACCATTGAAATTAATCAGATTTAGTATTTTTTGCATTACTTGATTTTCCAAAAAAGTTTTCCATTTGTCTAAAAAAAATAATACAGAAAATGCCAAAATTGGTTTCTTTGTTAATTTTTAACATACTATAATTTCTCTTTTTATTTTTAAAATCTTTTCTAAAGCTTTCCAATGTTTTATATACACATTCTATTTGTAATTTGTACAGTTGAGGAAGGCAGGTGCATCTAAAATGAGATTTTATTATATAGAGGAAAGTAAACAAATATGAAAGAGTATCCCTAATATGGAATACCGCCATTTCTCAGAATCAAACTTTTTCGATATTTTGCCACCTAACCAGTATTTATCTATACTAATATTATACTAATATATAAAATCCTTAAGTGACTGACTCACTGATTAATCACGATCCTGCTCAAACCACTCAACGTAAGAAGCTCTTTTGGCATATAGGTTGATTTTAGGGTGTAGAGGTTCGATAAGAAGGGATTTTTCGAAATTCCAGTTTCAAGGGGGTGAAACCACCCCTCAAATATTACAATATTTTTTATTTCAAAAACAGTCAAGTTTCCGAAAAAACGCTTAAACACGTACATTTTATTTTGTTTTTTTTACATATTTTAAGATTTTTTAAAAATGTATACAGGGTATTTCGAAAAATCTGGTCATTGATTAATCAGGATCCTGCTTAAAGCGCTTGACGTAAAAAGCTGATTTTTGGAAAACGAATTGACTTTAGGGTGTAGAGGTTCGATAAGAAAGGATTTTTCGAAACTCGAATTCTAAGGGGGTGAAACCACCCCTCAAATATTAGAATATTTTTTATTTAAGAACCGGTGAATTTGTCGGAAAATCTTTTAAACTCGTATATTTTATTTTGTTGTTTTACATATTTTAAGATTTTTTAAAAATTTATACAGGGTGTTTCATAAAATATGACCATTGAGTAATCACGATTCTGCTTAAACTGCTTGACGTTTAAAGCTGATTTTTGGCAAACGGACTGACTGTGGGGTGTAGAGGTTCCATAAGGAGGGGTTTCTCGAATCTCAAATTCGAAGAGGGTGAAAACGCCCCTCAGATATTACCATATTTATTATTTAAAAAACGGTTAGTCCTTCGGGAAAAAGCTTGGACACGCATAATTTATTTTGTTTTTTACATATTTTGAAATTTTTTAAAAAATCACACAGGGTGTTCCAAAAAGTTGGGTAATTGATTAACCACGATTCTGCTTAAACTGCTTGACGTAAAAGGTTATTTTTGACAAACGGATTTTTCGAAAGTCAAATTCCAACGAGAAGAAACTACCCAATAGTATCAAATATTACCAAGTTTTCTATATAGTTTTTTTTTACACATTTCAAATTTTTTGCGTGTACTCGCGGGTACTTGTATATTATTTTTATAATATACTCTATTTTTTTTTCTCAGGTAAGATTTCGACAGACGATGACAGAAAAAAAGCAGATGACTTCCATACCAATCCATTTACTTCACTAAAAAAAGTTTCTAATATTTTTTAAGTTAACTATGGATGGGTTTATACATAAATACGTCATGCGTCGTCTCTTGTTGTTTTTAACCAGTTTTATTGGTTTATTTCAAAAATGACATCATATTTCCATATTATTGGTTTCACGCAACCATGAACGCCAAACGGACGCCTATGCGTATGAACTCGAATTAAGATATTTGATAATTGTCAAACTCTTGCCAAGTTATAGGTTACAATTTTGTGTCAAATTATGTCAAATAGAAATGATAAATGTTTTGCATTTTGGACTGTGTTGTTACTTGTGTTTCGTGTTTTTTAAAATTAAGTGGAGGAAAACTCAAGGGAAAATTAAGTGTTGACCCAGACCATAGTTTACAGTTAATATTCGGTGCACAGAGACCGCCAGAGACACAGTTTGCCAGAGACTATGGTCAGTGAGTTGTATTAGCCACAAATAAAGTTGTATACCATCTCGTATATGGTACCAAAAACTGGAGTATCTGTAAAATAACATCACACAATAGGTAAATAATTCATTTTAGTTCTGCAGAAAAAAATTAAGATTAAAGTTAATTAACCAAGATTAGATTTTTTCAGTTTATACAGTTTTTGTTCACAATATTTTGAAGTAATCACTTGTCACTCAAAATTTAAATATATTAATTATGTGTTCCAATTGTACCAACTTATTTCTTTGTAAAATAAAATAAACTACTTTGAAATTAAAATAAGAGACACATATATCACTGTCAAGGATTTTGTCGTTAGACAGACTATATGGCCATATTGTTTTTTCTCATGCTGACATTGATGTGAGAAAATTTTATCCAGTTCGTATATTAATGGAAATCCTTGCTTTGCTTTATCATCACCATTACAAATGATTAATTGGACGCGTACAAAGTCGCGGGTACACGCTAGTTGAGTATAAAATGGGATTTTTCCTCATGAAATATGTCAAAATGATTTTTTTTGTTATTGAGAAAATTCCACATACACTCTCTTAATAACAATATTTTTTTCCATTTTTACAAACTTTTTTCATTTTTTACAAACGAGTACAAACAGGTACAAACTAAAGAATTTTTACTTCAAGTTACAATTCAGAATTGAAATATATAGCAGTATTTATACTATATGTATGTATGTCTTAAGAATTTTTGTCCTCAAAGTTAAACCCGAATTTATTATATTTAAAAAGATGGCAAAAAAATTGTTTTTATATTGTTTCTACTAAAAAAAACTATGTATATATCTACTTGCCTTAAGAATAACATAGAATTATACTTACATCATTTGAGCATGATCATGATGTATCCAATAACTATATTTAAAGCTGTTATAAAGAAGTGAAACCATATTATTGCATATTTCTAAAGATAAATGCGGCATTTTGAAAACAGACTCTTGCAACAAAATGCTTAGAACGCAAAATGTACATGATCCTGCAAAAAGTAAATTAATGCCTTTTCCTATTAAGAAAAATGCAAAGATTACCTTCTTTGTAGTACAAAATTCCTTTGTCACACACCTCTAAAGGATCTATTTTAGTTTTTGAAAACAAATACTCAATGAAGTGATGCGATTGTGAGTAAACTTTTAATAATGTTGTTAATTTAAGAAGAACTTCTAAACCAGGACGAACAAATACTACTTCTTTAAAAGTATTATATAATAATTCTCTGTTTATATCCTTTCCAGACCTATAAGAAATAATATTTTATATAATATAAAAATATTTCTGTAATTTACCTGTATATTTCTGAAATTCCAATATTTATTAAAAGATTACAAACAGAAACTAAAAAACCAGACATCACTGAGGTTTTTCTCTAAAACATAAAGTCACAAAATTGTTAAAATACTTTAAAAATATAGTGCTTCTAGTAGTAAGAGGCTATACGTGCAAGTTTTGACAGACATTGTACAACGACAGAATAAACAATATATTCTTTTGCTGAACACACTATAGATAAAAATAAGGGGTCAACTTTTGTTTAGCTGAAATCAGTTATTAGAAAAAAAAATTCTTTAAAAAGCTACTGTGAACCACGAAAAACACAAATTTTCCTACGGAAATGCATAATTTCCAAATTTCGCACTTTAGAATAACTGAAATCTTCTATAAAAAATACATTTTGCGTTTTATTTTTAATATTTTTCTGAACATATAAACACAAAAATTTTCCTGCGGAAATAAGCTGTTTTCATTTTCTAAGGAAATTTATAGACTTTAGAATTTTTTATATGAATATTAACTTTAGAATAGCTGAAATCAGTTATATAAAAAATAAATATATTTTTGCCTTTTAGAAGCGTTTACAAACTCAGGAAAATAAAAAAAAATCCTGCGGAAATGCTTGATTTTCATTTTCCATTTTTGTATGCATAAATACATAAAAAATTATCTTTTTATCACTTTTGAACCAAAAAATAATTTAATCTAAAATGCTAACCAATCTAAATTATAAATCTAATATTTTTACAAAATCACAGTTAATTATTAAAATATAAAAACCACAGCTTAACAACCTCCACAAAGAAAAGCAACCCAAATCCTAATCAATCTAATAATATTTTTGGAAAATCACAGTTAATTATTAAAATATAAAAACCACAGCTTAACACCCTCCACAAAGAAAAGCTAACCAAAGCAACCTAAATGCTAACCAATCTAATATTTTTCCAAAATCACAGTTAATTATTAAAATATAAAAGAAAACTGCATGATCCAATGATTTTTTGTTTTGAATCAGCCCTATTTACGTAAAGCTTTAATAAAAAACAAGAATAAGTGCAACATTCCGAGGTACTTGTAAACCCATAAGTACAAGTATAAAAGAACCTATATTATCTATTCTACAAGAATTGTTATTCCTCCGAAAGATGTTTTACCCCACCCAGCACCCCTCTTCGCTCCCGGGTCCCGTAAGCTTCTAAACTGAAAAATGTATGAAAAACAAAGTGCAAAAAATGATATTGACACATTTCCGCAGGAATTTTTTTGTATTTTTTTTGTTCGTAAAGGCTCGTATAAAACAAATATAAGTTCATTTTTCATGTAACTGATTTAGGCTATTTTACAGTCAAGCATTTTTTTATGTAAAATAAAAATAAAACATTTCTGCACATACCGACACTTTTTTGTGTTTTTATGTTAGAAAAATGTCTAAAACACACCCCAAAGACTAATTTTCGATGTAACAGATTTCGGCTATACTAAAATCCGAAAAATGAAAATGACGCATTTCCCCAGGAAAATTTTTGTATATTTGTACTCCTAACGCCTTCTAGAACGCATATATAAAGTCATTTTTTATATAACAGATTAACAGATTTCAGCTAAACGAAAGTTGAGCCAAAATGGGTACTTACACACTTTCCAATATTTTTAATTGTATCTAGTAACAATGACAAAAAATAACCACTACTACTTATTAAATCATTTTGGGGCGGAATAAACCTTTTATCTTCAAAAACTTTATCTAAATACTGTAGTTTACCATCAAAACAAAAATATTCGCAAATATATTTGCTGTATACTATTACATCGGATAAAAAACTTAATAGTTTTCCTGCTATCATTCCCAATTCATCATTTTCAAATCTAAGAAAAAGTTTCAATAAATTAATTTAAAAGAAAAAAAAATGTTAACATAACTTACAAATCATTTGAACTAACACATTCAGATTTCTTAGAAAGCAAATAGTTCATATCAGCTTGTTGAACATCTTCCGATCTCAAAAATAAACAAAACTGTCTCAAATAGTCATTTAAATCATTCAAATGATTGATAGTGAGGCAAATAATTTTAGTTAGTGATTTGCTACATTCAGGTCCATTTATTTCATTCTCAGTACTGTTCACTAACTTTAATATATCAGGATAAATATGATTTAAACTACTATTTTGTTGATTCAAATATATGCATTTGTGTTTACAGTAAGATTCATTGTAATTCTGTTGGTTTTGTAGATACGGAATTGTATTTCTACTTAATTTGTATAATGAAGTTTGAATTATATGTTTTTCTGGATTGCTCTCATTAAATAAATTTAATTTTGTGTATTTTAAGGGGTACACTGAAATGTGTAACTGAAAATTATGTACATCAAATTCATTTTGTTGCATACATACCAGGTTCTAAAATTGCTTCTCTGCTTGGTAATTTCACATTTGTACTACTTTTATCTGTTGTGCTTCTAGAATCATTGTAGATAAACAGAAATTAGATTTGTAGTTTTAAAAATAAATCAAAGTATAAGAAAATATTCTAAATACCTAATAGAGTATTTGTTAAGAGTTATAATAAATACCTTTCTTGGTTTACCTTTACACTGCCAGCTGCAGTTAAATATTGTGAATTATTTGTAATTTCAATATTAATCCTTTTTAGTTCGAATAATTGTTGTTTTAGGTTTCCTATTTCTAAATTCTGAAAGTTTAGAGTATTTTAATTTTTAATACATTTACATTTTTTTTTTCAATTTTTTGCATACCTTAAAATCTAATTGACTTTTAATAGCTTTGATCTCTCTATCTGAAGATTGCAGTTTCTCCCTCCATTCTGTGATTGTTTTTTGTTGCTGAACATGAACTGTAGAACTGTTTTGTTTTATTTTGCTTCTTAAAATACTAATTTCTCCTTGTTTTTCATCATTTGCTTGTTTCAACTTGGTAACTTCTTGTTCCAGTTCAAAAAATGATAATTTCTTAGAGGGTACGCATACACTATTATTTAATTGGGTCGATGAAATTAGTCCGTTTGGCCGCCTGAAAGAGTTGTATGTGGGGAGCTGGGAAGGTCCAGCATTATCCTAGAAACATACTTGTTAACGTAAAATACATAAACAATAAAACAGGAAACTTACTTCATTGTAAGCTTGGCTAGCAACTTCAAAGCATTCATTTAGCGCCTCGTCGTCGATATCATTGTCCCACAGTTCATCTACTAATTTTATTTTCTTTTCGTTACTACCCTGATAATTTCCATACCTTTTGGTCATAGCTATTTTGCAAATTTTGAGGAAATAAACTCAAAGAAAAAACTTTGAAAATTTAGTTGAGTACAAATTCAAAACCCGTCTTCTTAAAATAACCCATGGAGTTTTTCCTACTAGCTGTGCTACTAGGCTACTCACAAAACACATACACAAGGAGAAGTGCGAGCCATAAAATAATTAACTAGAAAGAAGTGTCAACTCTGTGTTAAATCGTGGAAACACGATACGCCACCGTAAGCCTTCGTTGTCGTCTGGAGAACTAATTTTCAATTGACAGGTTGACATGATGGCTTCATTTTTATTTCCGTTTCCGGTTATTCAATGGCGGGCACCTCTTTCAGTTTAAATGTTTTTTTTAATTTGATTTGATACTATAGGTCTGTTCCAGAGAAATGAAGGGATAGAGAATGAGCGTCAACATGCGCAGAAGGTCTAATCAAGTTGGGCGCCATATTCCAGGTCTTCGTGTCATTTTGTATATAGGTGGTAATCTATAAGTAATCAAATATCAATTTGCTGTTTTCAACATACGGGGGGCAATTTAAATTTGGTGAAATTCCATCATTTATTATGGTTAGTTAACATTAATATGATTTATTTAATTATCAGTTTCAAAACTGCGTACAATATTGGTATATAATACACTAAATATACGAATATTCTGACAAAAGACGCTACGGACAGATGACCTTTTCGTCGTAAAACACTCGAAATGATATTAAATAAGTATTTACAATATTTCATGTTTACTTGTACTGAATTACGCGTTTCAATTTAAAATTTTTGCAAATTTGGTAAAAATTGTTCTAAACAACTTTTTGTTCAAGTTGTATATTCATAAAAAACATTTGGTTCATAATTATTTTTGATGATTATCTACCTTGTATTTTTAATATAAACCTAGAAAAAATATGTTTTTGTTTTATTTTTTTTATTCGTCCCTTCAAATTATGTTTCAAAAACTGTTACATAACATGTCCTCTAACAAATATTTTCATAATACATAAACATCATTGATTTTATTAAGGGTATTATTATTAGTATTTATCCTGGTTTTTGTCGACAATAAAAACTCAATCTTGTAATAGAACATCAATTTTATATTTCGTAAAATTATTTTGATACAAATTCGATTTGTCAAAATTCAAGTCATTAATATATTGATAAACAACCCAAATTATTCCTAAATATTTTATTATAAACAAAAACTGTTACCGGTAAGTTTGTAAAACACATTATGGTTTGTCGTAATACTAGAAAAAATCATTTATTTTTTGCACAAAAGAAGCTTGTCGATCCTTATTTGTCCATAACAAAATTCTGTATGTACATATACCTAATTTATTATTAAGAAAATTAGATTATATGATCTCAGAATTTTAAGAAATTTTTTTTTAAGATAAAATAGTTTCTTCTCAACTGTAATATTGTCAACTTTGGCCTGTATTTTATCTATTTAAAAACATGGGATTGACAATCCCCTTACTAAAATACATACTGGAAGGTACCGATTAAGTTTCATTGCATCAAATACCTTTACTATAAATCCTGGCTCACAACTCACAATTTAAGGCCATTGCAAAATGCTTTTGAACTTCATCATAGATTTTACAAGAATAAAAGTGTAATATTGAAACAAAGTAACACTGTAAGCTTCATGACTAATAGTCTCATTTTTAACACTCTTTAAATATCATCTCGTTAACAATTATGAATATTATATGATTTTTCTCAGTGATTTGTGGCACAGATACAAATTAATATATGCCCCATAACAGTTTTTAAATAAGAAACTTCTGCCTACAGATTTAATTTTCTTATTGGCATAATACCCTTCTTCCTATATAAATCTTGCCATTTTTTCAGTCCAATGTTCCTTGTTTTTACAGTTGTAGGAATACTAAAAATGTTGACTATAGAACTCGATACTATGTTTGAAAAAGCCTTCATACCTGTAACTGTGCATAAATCTAATTAACTGAATTCTCCTCCTCTTGACACTCTGAACACGGCTGCTGCTAATGTTAGAAATATTTAGCACAAAACTACAACTACCTACAACAAACTTTACAATAAAAGTGTTAAATTTTCGCTGTTCGATTAAAATACCCTATCTTATGTTTTCTTTTCCTCCAAATAATCTTCTTGTCAAGTAAGGACCAATCTTATTTGATATATTTCTGGTACACTTGAACTTGTGCTTTCATGGACACTATAAGAGTGCACTGTTTTACAGAAGCACGAACACTGATTCCAAGTATCTTCTTCCTCCACACGTAATAAAAACATCCTCTTTAAATGGCCACATCATACACTTATTTTTGACCATTCCCAATTACAATCACGATTTTTACAAATCGCCTTTAGGAAAACTAAAAATAAACAGTTTTGAATCATCTGTAAACACAATTATGTTGTATAAACTTACACATGAAAACTAATCATTATTCCCGGCGTATTAGCTTTCTTAGAATGACTATGAATATACAACAATCCTTTTTGAATTAGTGTTTAGAATAATTGAGATAATAATAAATTTTAACTAGATAACAACACAAACGAAAAACAAAACAAAACAAAACAAACAGATATCAATTAAAGAAGGGAAGTGACAGCGAGACCTGGAAGATGTCTGCCATCTTGCCGTCGACAAAAATTTGGATGCGCACTCGTCGAAGCTCATTCCCCACTTCCATATCTCTGGTCTGTTCCCATGATACAAAAGAATACAAGGTATGATATTGCTACACTCCATAGATATTGCGCAGGTTGGTCATTACGTCACAGGTGATAAACGGCACCATTGGTCGGCAAGCTCCGCGCGCCAATTTCAAATTGTCAAACAGATGACACAAAAAATGTGAAAATAATTTTTCAAATGTCAAGCTCGATGATTTGACATAACTTTTGAGGTTATGTCCTAATTCTTCCCTATTTTAGGTCTTTTTTTATTAGTTGCAATTGAACAATATGGATATTTTTTTGTATGGCGTATGACGTCACAGGTGGTATGCGCAAACTTAACGAAATTGGAACCGCTATCGATCATACCTTGTTTTCTTTGTACCATGAGTCTGTTCCCAGAAGAATCCCTGACTAGTCAGCACGTTTCTCATTGGTTAAAATGTGTAGAAACCTGATTGTTAGTCAGGTTTCTACGCATTTCAACCAATACGAAACGCGCTGACTAGTCAGAGATTCTTCTGGGAACAGGGCCTATAATGGACGGTGGCGATATTACATAATATTTATATATGAATATTATATATATATGATGATATCTCAATAATCAGTGGTGGGCAGGGTTCGGAAAACTACATGTTACTTTTAAAAACTACATATACTACATTACATGTAGTTAATGTAGTTTATGTAGAGGGTGTAGTTTATGTAACTTATGTATGTAACTTTCAAACATCAAAGGTTTGAGGTGAGGTTATAATAAGTTGAAACTCTAGAAAACGCAATGTATTTAAGAAAACAGAAGATATATGGCTTTAAATATAATATTCACACATCATATTATTTAGACCCCTCATACAAAGCAAAATTATTCATAATATCAATACATAGTTTATTAACGTAGTTTTCATGTAGTTAATGAACGGGAAAAGACGTAGTTTTTGAAGAAAAACTACACGTCAGGTAAATTACGTCTTAATTAACTACTTCCGAACCCTGGTGGTGGGTAGTGTCTGCCATTGCTGTATAAAATACAACAAATTAAAAAGAAGAAATTGTGGCGGGAAATTTTTTGGTTAGAATAAACAAGAGCCGTTGACAACCAATTGACAACAAACAACTCTATTTATTTTTTTAAAGTATACAGATTTCAGCATATTAGGATTTTTATTTTCATATAACTAACTTAAGATAATGGATAATGATTTTATATTGAAAGAACCGGATGAATTTCCTTTTCCATTCCCACCATATAATATTCAGTTAGAATTTATGCAAAAGTTATATTTCGCATTAGAAAATAGAAAAATGGGAATATTTGAAAGCCCTACTGGTACTGTAAGTAAAAAATGAATGTTTTGTACAGCTCAACTTATATAACCATTACATACTTTAGGGAAAGTCATTGAGTATTATATGTGGTGCAATTAAATGGTTAAAGGACCATGAACAACGGGAAAAAGATGCATTATCAGAGCAAATAACATCTCTAGAATTAGAAAAAGTAGAGTTAGCAAAAGAGGAAAAGGATTGGTTTAAGGCACAGTCAAAAGAAATTATTATTACTCAAAAATTAAATCACTTGAAAGTAATGTATTCTTATTTGATTTTAATATCTATAAAAAATAGATATTTTAGATAGAAGAGAATAAAATACTAGCATATAAGGAGAAAATAGACAAAATAAAAGCAGTAAATGTAGAAAATACCAGAATTAAAAATCCAAAACCAAAAATTATAAAAGAAAGTGTGAAACTGAAGTTACCAGTTAGTGATCTGGCTGAGGAGAAAGCCATTGACGATGAAGATATTTTATTAGAAGAAAAGGATCCATGTGATGTTAAAGATGAATCTAGTGATGAAGAAGATGAAAATATGAAGTACCATCCGACACAAGTTAAATAAACGCTTAATTTTGATGAATAAATATAAAATATTATTTTATTTTAGATAATAATAGCCAGTAGGACACATTCTCAACTTTCCCAATTTATAGGAGAGTTAAAAAAATCACCCTTTTGCAAAGATCTCAGAGTTGTTTCGCTAGCTTCAAGACAAAATTATTGTATTAATTCTAATGTAAAAAAACTAAATAACATGAATTTAATTAATGAAAAGTAATTAGTTTACTTAACTATAATAATATTTATTTTGTTAATATTAATCTATTAACTAACAGGTGTATAGATATGCAGAAAAAACAAAAAAGTAAAACAGTATTGACGGATGAAGGAAAATCAGTTAAAAAACAAAAAACTTCCAACTGTCAGTGCCCATACTACAAACAGAATACAATAGAAGATCTAAAACATTTTACCCTAAGTGAAATTCATGATATAGAAGATTTGGTGCAAATTGGGAAAGAAATATCAGCCTGTCCCTATTATTCAAGCCGCAAAGCAGCTGAAGATGCAGAAATTATATTAGGTAGGGGATATTTTTCAAGTAAATTCTATTTGCAACACACTTTAAAATGTTTTTTTTAGTTCCTTATAATACTTTGTTACATAAGTCCACCAGAGAAGCTAACGGAATAAATTTAAAAAATAATATAGTAATTATTGATGAAGCTCATAATCTTCTTGAAGCACTGGCTCAAATGTATGGTTGTGAAGTCAGTTATTCACACTTGTATTATTCTTTGCATCAAATAAAATGCTACAAAGAAAGATACAATACTATGTTTTCTGCAAGTACGTTAAGGCATTTAAATCAGTTAATATTTGTTCTAAATAAGTTGTTATCCATTTTTGGTAAGCCAAAATTAAAAATATGTATATACGGTATTAATAAATATATTTTTCAGATAAGGATGTTAAAGAAATCGCTACTGAAATATTTACACTAGAAAACTTTGTATTATCAGCTGGAATTGAGCAATATAATTTCTTTAATTTGATTAAGTTTTGTAAATCAAGCAGAATAACTCAAAAAGTATTGTTTCATTTTTATAATATAGGGAGTATAGATAAAAAAATGAAAAAAAAATCAGGGAGTCATTATTTCTTAAAAATAATTTTTTTTTATATAAAATTTTTGCTGTTGGCGTTGCTCTAGAAAAATCATTAAAAATAATGATATTTGATAATTGATTTGTTGCCTATTGCGTTTTTAATATATTTTCAATTAATTCCGTGTTGGTTCCTAATTTGATTGCTATATGCACTATTTTTTTTATTTCATAATTAAATCAGAGGAAAAAAATATAGTTAAATGCAAGATATTTGAAGATATATAAATTTCCCATTGAACACCGGAATATACTGGGTGTTCCGTTTAAAATAAAGGAGTAACTTGCTTTTAAAAGTGACTAATGTTCCATATTAATTTTGTCTCACCATGTATTATTTTTCGGGTCAAATTTCAATTTGGTTTAACATACAATGGTTACTGTAATTAAATATCGGGCTATACAAGGTCAACTAAAATTTAGGTAGCTGTTATCGAAATTTAAAATTTACTCTTCATTTCCACAAAACGTGAAATACGTATGTCAAAATCCTTAGAATTTAGGTATATGCTTCTTTAATAAAACTCACCTTTATTTTTTTCCTAGAATCCAAAAATCAATTAATATTAGAAAAAAAACTTTGATGTGTAACTTTTTTTGGGGACACCCTGTATCATTTTATATATTTTTATAAATTGCTTTCAGTTAACCTACATATGCTGTCAGAATTTAATTTCGATATAAACTACCGTTCTCCTTGAAACTCCCTGTATACATGCTCAACATTAACATAATTCTGCGTAAAAACGCCCGATTGGATTAGTAACATTCACACACCTAGCTATAAACATTGAAAAAAAGTCAATATTATAATTTTGGTTCACTTTATATAATTTATTAACTGCAGGAAAAGCTAATCGAAAAAAACCCATATCAAAAAAAGATAATTTTAAAAAATAACTTCCTGATTTTTTTGGTAATTTTTGAATTTGCACCTACAGGTTACAATATGATCAAAAAAAATGCGTAAGCTATGGCTATGAAACGAAGATCGCGTTGTCATTTTATATGTAAAATTTAGTGATGGGATAACTCGAGTGAAAATTCGCTCGAGTACTCGATTATTGAAATAACCGACATCGCTCGATTATGAACGAGCGATGCAAGTGACGAGTACCAAGCGACGAACGCAAGCGATCCTAAAATGAAATAAATTGAAATCCGATTTTAATGTGACATACTCGATAAAAAGCTGAGCGAATTTTCTACATACCGTCGGTTTACAAGCAAAACACACTAAGTCCAATTATTTTAATTTATTTATATCATTTGATTAGATTTCTTCCAGAATATAGATCTATATCCAGAAAAAATCTACTATACCTTCTAAGAATTATTAGTTTAATTTTTAAATTACTTTTATATTTTTTAAATCCATAATGGCGCTATATTAGTTCATTAAAAATGTATTTATTCGTTTTTGGACTTAGTGTGTTTTGCTTGTAAACCGACGATACATTGCAGGTAGCAAATTTATACGACCGATATACCGGGTCCGTCTCAAAAGTGGCTCACCCCTATTACTTTTTTATTTTTCTTTAGATAAAAAAATGAGATTTGTTATGTTAGTATATGACATAAATTAGGATTGATTGACGTATTCAATTGTTTTCTGTTACTTCCTGTTTCACCGGAAATGACTACAATTTTTGATTTTTAAATGGCACCCTCGGTATTTCTTTTACTTTATTCGATAGAAAATGACATTCCAAATAGAATGACTTATCATATGTCAACTTCTGACATATTCGCTTAAAAACAAATTGTATTTTAAATTTCAATCTAGAGTGCCATAGCTGTGTTAAAAACACTAATTTTTAATCAAGGAGCCTTGGAAAATATATTTAATCGTCTAATGTTTTTAGTGTCTTGCCCTGGCCGGTAAAAGATGCCCAAATCGTATTTTTGATCATATCTATTTTTTTTCAAATGGAACGAGGACGGCTCATTAGCATATTTAGAAAAAGAATTTTTTTACGAATAATTTGATACCACACACTTGGTACTTCGAGTCAAATTGTCGTTATGAACCGCATGTTAGAAATTCAAATTCAATTTCAAATATATCATATGTGAAAATGTCAAAAGTTGACATGTGATATGTCATTCTATTCAGTGTGATTTTCTACCGAATAAAGTAAAAAAATACCGAGAGTGCGATTTAAAAATCAAAAGTTGTAGCAGTGGCGTCGCCAGAGGGGGGGGGCAAGGTGGGCCGTGGCCCACCCTGGATTACCTTGGACCCACTAATGGCCCACCCGCGCAATGTCCAGAAAATATAATCAACAACTATGATATGGTAAATTATCTGGCCCACCCGAATAAAACCTGATCCCAGTGCTGGCCCACCCTGAAAAAAATATCTGGCGACACCACTGAGTTGTAGTCATTTCCGGTGAAACCGGAAGTGACTGAAAACAATTCAATATGTCAATCAATCCTAATTTATGTCATATACTAACATACCAAATCTCGTTTTATCTGAAAAAATAAAAAAGTTATAGGGGGTGAGCCAATTGAGACTCACCCGGTATATTTATCCGTTGCGTATCTGAGGGACAAAATTTAAGACCTACATCAACAATGCTTCGAAATAAACTAAACCAAGCCAAGCGATCAACCGAATCGCTCGCCGCTTACTACTTGCCGTTCATTACCGAAAGAATATGTGCCCTGCGCACGCAGCTTACTGCTTGGCGCTTGGCGTTAACGAGTACTTACAACATGTGACGGACAGAAAACCGTATTTTTAAATACGAGCGATATTTCGCTGGAGTGATCACTCGGTTATTACAATCGCTTGATACTCGAATACTCGATTATTGAAATTAATCGGTTTTTCCCATCACTAGTAAAATTATATGGACGCCGTTTTTTTTAGGTCAGGTCATATTCAATTAAATACCCAATTGAGGCGGAAATGATTAAAAAACCTACCAAAAAGTCATCAGGTGTAAAAAGCTTCTTAGCAAGTATATCAAAAACACCAAAGCCAGAAAAAAATGAAGAAAACCCTCCAGAAAAACTCAAAATTCCTATTCCAAACAACCCTATCTTACCAGTGGTGTCGCTTTTAGATTCATTGAATTATTCACAGGAAGATGGTAGAATACTTGTAACAAGAAACTCACAAAAGCATTTGTCAAAGATACAGTTTTTATTACTGAATCCTTCGTCGAATTTTAGTGATATAGTTAGCCAAGCAAGATCGGTAAGTTTAAAACACAAGCAAAATGATGAATTCATCTCTCCAAAAAATCCTATATGGGTATTTGCCCACTGCAAGAAAATCTACAAAATAAAATAGTTATTTTATGTAACACTTCTGCGTTTATCCCAAACGGAAACTACTTGTCAGAAGTTAGGTTTAAAAATATATAAATTTGCATAACGTACAAAAAAATGCTGAACCTTTCGGAAAGTTTATCTCTTTCCGTCGTCGGAAGCAAAAAAAAATACAAAGAATAAAGAAAAAAAACTATTTAAAATATTTAAATTCAACTATTTGAGAACATTTTAGTTTTTTTAAAACAGATACGTCTACAAAAACCGTTGACGTTCTATTAAAATGACATTATATCAAGTTATCAACTTCAAAATTAACAATTACTACCTGATTACAATTACTTAATAAGGTAAAACCCTTGTTTATATATTAATAGTTAGTCAATGTGCCTGTATAAGTCGATGCTGCCAACTGGTGGCAGAAATTAAAACGTAAAAAGGGGCGGAGACTATTGAATTTGGCAAAGAAGTAGGGACTAGAAATTCTTCGAATTTAATTCTCGGTAAAGAATAAAATATCTTATCTGATTCGAACCGAATTTATACCTCAAAGCGTTATTTACATTTTTTATTTTTGGACATGGATTTATATTTATTTTGATTTTCATGGCCACTTGTTGGATACTAAAGTATGATATTAGGTATATAAATATTTTATTTTCTTAAATAATCTTTATGTTCTTTAATTCGAACATTTAATGGTTTAGATGTTTCACCAATGTAAAATTTATCGCATTCACATGGTATTTGGTATATTACATTTTTTGTTTGTTGTTCTGTATTCATTGGTTTAGTATGTGATAAAATGGATCTAAGTGTATTTTGTGTTTTGAAAGATTGTCGTATGATATATTGTTTTCCTATCCTTCTTATTTTTTCCGAAACGCCTCGTATGTATGGAATTGTAAGTTGTATATGTTACGCACAATACTCGAATTCGGGTAATGCCCGAAAAAAATGCACAGAACTAGTTTTGATCAAAAAATATTTCCCAAACCCGAAATTGTACATTTAAACGGGTATTGCGCATTACAAAATAGTCAAAACTAGTATTGTGCATTTTGAATTGCGCAAAACTAGTTTGGTGCATTTCAAAATGTCCAATACTAGTTTTGCTAGTCCTATTTGATCAATAACGCCCTAACACAAAGGATGGATTGTTTATGAATGTGTTTGATTCAAATATGATTAAACTGACAATAAAATACTTAAAAAAATAAAACTTTATTCATAAATATTTTATAAATGGATAAATACATCATAATATAGGTACCTATATGAATATTTATACAGTAGCACTATATTATTTATTTGAGCAGGAACACTTAGGGTTGCAAATAACATTATTTTTTTCTACAAGAACACGCTCTATTAATACATTTTTTATACACATGCATGAAATAAAACTTTGAGTAGATCCGGATATATCGGAAGATGCAGTTCTAAGCGATATTTCCGTTTTATCGTCAACATTGTTGTTGTCAATAAAAAAATTATTATCAGCTAATTGAAACTCATTTCTACAATAAAGTTTTTGTAAAACTCCAGTCTTTATTGCTAATTTGTAAACCCATCATCAGCCGATTGTACAACTGCCATTACATTTCGTGGTGCTAATCTGCCTCGATCTACTACGTCTGGTATTCGAACAAAAACATTGTCCCCAATTAGGGCTGGTTTAAATTTTTTATTTGATTGTGCAAGCACCCACAGTTATTATATCAAAACGCTTTATCCTTCTATATTGTTTCGCACTCAAAATCAGTTTTAAGAAAATTTGCCTCCTTAACTTCAGTCATTATCGTTAGGTATTGATTTTTCGACATAAGGTTATGTTTCTGTGCTTTAGCCATCATCAATCGACTTACTTGAATTCGGAACTCGGTTTCCATTTTTTCTTGCATTTTTATGTTTTATTTTACCAAGTATTGCGTATTTCCACCCACAACAAAATCAAAATAAGAATCCTTTCAAACCTAAACAAACTGCTAACCCTACTTTTTGCCGTCTTATTTAAAGAAAACGAGCAAAACTAGTATTGGTCATTTTGAAATGCACTAAACTAGTTTTGCACAATTTAAAATGTACAATACTAGTTTTGCTATTTTGTAATGCGCAATACCCATTTAAATGTACAATTTCGGGTTTGGGAAATATTTTTTGCTCAAACCTAGTTCTGTGCATTTTTTTCGGGCGTTACCCGAACACAGCCCGATTTCGAGTATTGTGCGTAACGTATATTATTATATTGTGTATTGATATCATTGTGTCTATGATTTGGGGTTTGAATTCATGTGTCGCAGCTTGGTCGTCCAGTAATACCATTAAATCAAATACTGGTTGCTGTGACCTGGTCGTCAGTCGTCAGTGCGTTTGGTAGCTGCGCCACATTGCTCGCGAGCAGGCCGAACGAATACCTGGAACACGAAAAACATGGCAAACAGTCGGAGCGAGATGTTCGCGGTGCTCCACGTGCTTGCGATCACATAGAATACCCGTTTCGATTGTTCGGCACTGTCGCGGTACATCAAAGAGACGCTTCAGAGCCATGCGAGCATACGAAGGTTCGAAGCGCTCGAGCTATTTGCGTTGTTTGTTAAGTTTTTAGTTTGGTTTCATTCATAGAATTCGGTATTTACTGCAGTATGATGATACTACCACGATTTTTCTTATTTTATTTTGTTTAGAATTACAAATATTTGTGTTTTGTTCTTGGATTAATAATATTAAATATATTTAGAAGAAGTTTATTTATATTATTTTTAATGCTTTGCTTGGAAACTTTGAATAATTAACCCAAACTCGTATGTGAGCCTCTAGTTGCAAAGAATCTTAATGATATGGCCAATCTTTATTTAACTCTTTCTTTAACCGGAATACACTTCCTAAAAGTTGTATTTTATCTTTCTATACGGGGACCAACTAAGTAATATGTCTTTCAAAATCAGTAGCGGACATGCGATAAAAAATATTAAAAAAACATTCTGCCTGTTTGTAAATCGCGTAGATGTTTATTTTCACTGGGATCTATTTTTTAAATTATTAGACATCCAACCGCCTTTTTTCTCATTGTCTCCGTCGTTTTGCTATAATGATCGCACTAGCAACCGCTATTAAAATTACTTCGGTATCATCCATGTCCGAACAGCACGTACGCAAGCACTACATTACAATGTGGACGCCGTTGCTTGCGAGCCGAAAGATCTTGAGAAACACGACAAACAGGAAGCGCAAGCAACGCAAGCACAATCAGAAGCAAGAGCGCGAGCAGGATCACGAGCAATGTGGACGCACCTTTAAATAACCTGGCTATTAGGTATTTTTATTTTTTCAGGTTATTGTGGCTGGCGGCACCATGAAACCATATGCTGAATTTAAGGATAGACTTTTTATCAATTCTGGTGTTTCCCCAGATAAGATTTTTGAATTTTCCTGCGACCACATTATTCCTCCTGAAAATATCTTACCTATCGCTGTAACAAAAGGTCATAACGGTGAAAAACTACTGTTTAACTTCAGTAATAGGATGTCGCTGGTTAGAAAACATCTTTTCACAAAAATATTTTGTCTTTTAAAACATACTTTTAGGCGTCATCTTTGAAAGATATTCTTAAAGAGACCTGTCAAAATGTCAATGGAGGTATAGTTGTATTTTTTCCATCATATACCTATGAGAATTGGGTCTATGATCAGGTAAAAAACATGAACTTCGGTAGACCATTGTTTAGAGAACCTCAAAATTCAGGCTCTGTTGATGAAGTGTTGAATAAGTATTCAGCTACTATAGCTAAGTCAACAAATGCATTATTGTTTAGTGTAGTGGGTAAGTAGAATTTTTGAAGTGAATACAGGGTGAGTCTTAAATAAGTGCAAATATTTTCAGGGGTGGTATATTTCGACACCAGGAACACGTCTATAAATATGAGTTTTTTTTCGCAAAAAATGTTGAAAATCGTGCATTTTCTTTTAAATTTCCCTGTATATTTTTCGAAAACTGCCTGTTCACCGCAAATTTTCCAAAGGTATAATTTCTTAATCTCTGATATTACCATAGTTACGGATTTCCTCCATGGTTACGGCACTAAAAAGGATGCAAATACAGAAAAAAATCCGGTGGCTCTCAAAATTTTTTCAAAAAAAAATAATTCTTTTTTAATTTTCAAACTTAAATAACTCGGTTATTTTAGACTTATCTGAAAGATGGTAAAGAGAAAATATGTTTCTTTTATCGAGATTTACCAGCCCTGAAAATATTTTCCCTTATTTAAGACTCACCCTGTATATTTCGATCCCAGAAACACGCCTGTGTCTTTTTAAGGATAATTATTTTTCTTTAAATCTTTCGGTATATTTTAGAGATGCAGGTTTGAATTTTTTTAACAAAAATCTTTCATTGTGCACAAACAGTATACTAAGGGTATGCAACGTTGCTATTTTGTACATACTCTATATTCCTAATAATTGTCGTTCATCGATCGCAATAACAATATAATTGAAACAAATATTAACAGAACACTTTCTGTTAAAATGGTATACAAAAATTGCATTTTTCTGCAAATTTAATCAACAAATAATTAATCTACAATAAAAACTGGTTACAACTGCAAACCCACTAGTAAGACGCGATTCTCATTATAACGTATGGCCACCAAATATTTTTAAATTGCCAACAATGAACATATTTACACTACCCGTAGGGCTAAGGTAAATTGGGTTGTGCTTATATTGCGTGTGACATAACCTGGCGCGACGCGAGTTTTTGTAAACAACAGAAATAAGTGGGACAGCGTAAATTGGCAACACAGCGCAGCGCAGAGCGGCGCGGCGCGACCCGACCAGCGCGCGTCTCTGTAGTTCAGAGCATAGATAAATGAAACAAGTTTAGATTGGAAAGCCCGTCAAAATTTTGGGTCGCGACCGTTGTACGAGATCTGGCGCTGCTATAGCGGTTGCTAAGAACAACCGCAAACAAAAACAGAAATAATTTTCTCTTGTCCATATCTCTTGTCAAAGTCAGAATCTTCAAAAATTATAAAATCTTTCAAAATCCAAACCGCTCTCATTGAAAAAATTCCGAAAAGTGTTTATAGCGTCCATTTTCAAAGTAATTATTGCTATCATGTGAGTTTAATTTAAGTTTTATTTACTTACCCGTGATAATTATGAAAAAGTGGCATTAAAAACTTAAAAATCTGTGCTGTGAACTGCAAAAACCATCGTGGATCGTGGCATAACGTCGATTTCCAATGTTTCATAGGTATTTAATATATGTCCTTATATAAAATAAAGTTTCTTGTATGCAACACACTGTATTTTATTTATAAAATTAAAAAGAAATAATAATAAATTTGAATAAATATTTGGCGATATAATTCCGGAAAAAGCCGAACCGCTCCGAAATTTCCAAAAGCTTTGGGTCGCGACCGTTGCAAGAATAGCGCCAAATAGTGCTTACATTGTTCTAATGGACACTTTCCAATCTAAACTTGTTTCATTTATCTATGGTTCAGACACAGTTTTTCGCGTGTCGCGTGCATCGCGTTCGCGCCTTATTTTTTATTATAGAATACAGTAAAATTTCGGCATCATCTGATTCTGATTCAGAACTAAAGTTTAGTAACGATAATTGTTTCGATGGCGAATCAGATATTTTTATGCAGGTGAGCCGCTGAAAAACTGCGTTTCATTTCGAGGACTACCACGCAGCGCGTCCCGTCATGTCGGTCGCGCCAGGTCATGTTACACGTGATACACGCGACTCATTTTGCGCCTAGCGGGCGTAGCCGATAGTCGTGACAACGTCGAAATGACGCGGCGGCTATGTATGTCCCCGGATTGTCTTTACAAGAGGAAAAAACCATTCTTCATAAAAATGTTTGCTCGTTTTAAAATGGTTTAATCACGTATACTTTTCCAAATTTCCATACCGTTTTAGAGAGAATTAAAAAAATAGGAAAATATAGTTGAATTTTGTCCACTTAAAGGATTCTCACTATAGGTACCTTCCGTTTCCATACCATATCCGTTCCGTATTTTATATTGTATTGACGCTATACGTAAGCTTCCGTTCCGTATCAGTTCCATACTTTTTATTGTACAATTTATATAATTACGAAAGTTTTATTTTAAAAAGTTTTTCCTCTTGTAAAGACAGTCCGGGGACATATTGTACAGGGTGGGTCAAATTCGACGCTTTTAAATGGAAACACCCTTTTCTATAGGAGATAGACGAAAACTAATATTGGAGCTCAATTTTCATCAAAAACATGATGGTGAAAACCGCACATCAATATTTGTTACCGTTTCGGAGTTACGGGGTGTTTCTCAAAAATGTGCATTTTTAACAAATCGCTGTAACTTTTTTCCTATGGAAAATTTTGTATTTCTATGCAAACATTTCCAAAGCACCTTTTTACGTAGAATTTAATGGTTTAAGTATAATTTTTTTTAAATTAATAATTTAAGAGTTATCAACAGAAGAAATTATTTTTTATTTGGGACACCCTCTATATTTTTAATTAACTGAAAAGAATTTAAAATTACCTTTCCAAAAATATAGCACACTTGATATTTTGTTATAATCCCCTTCGAAATACAGAATTTTTAAAAGTTCGCCTCTTTTAACTAGTAGGCTTTGGACCCCTTCTTGATGATATGCCCTTAATGGAACTCGAAAACATATTTTTCCAGCAAGAAGACGCACCGCCTCTGAACGATGAAGTGATCAGCAAATTTTTGCAGCCAATTTCAAGAATAATTGAACAGCTAATCAAGATCCCAGCCGTTGGCCGTCGAGGGCGCCTGACTTAGTGCCCATGGATCTAATCCTATAGATAAATTTGCGGAAGAATAAAGGTTCCATATTCTTCTGTATAATCTAGACAAGAATTAGAAATACTTAGCAGTTATGAGACGATATCTTTCACCCCCACTGAGTTAATGAATTCCGCGAGAAATGTTCAAAAACTGCCCCGACAGTCCATAACAGAAGACGGTCGATATGTCGACACCTGTAGCAAAATCTCATGTCTTGGTTTGCTATTTATTTTTATTGTTATTAGATATAGTTTAAATGTGTTAATGTTGGTTAAATATATTTTAAATTGTTATAAAATTCTGCATCTCTCATAGCAAATATTATTTTCGTTTTAACTGATGCTCACAGCTAGAATTTTTTTGCATTACAACCGGTGCCGTTCAAAGCCTACTTATTTAAAGCGGGCGAATTTTTATATACTCTATATCTCGAAGAGGAATCGAGCAAAATATCTAGTGTGTTATATTTTTGGAAAGGTAATTTTAAATTCTTTTCAATAAATTAAAAATATACAAAGTGTCCCATATAAAAAATCAAATTTTCGGTTGATAATTCTTAAATTATTCATTTTAAAAAAATTATACTTAAACCATTAAATTATACGTAAAAAGGTGCTTTGGAAATATTTTCATAAAAATACAAAATTTTCCACAGCAAAAAAGTTACAGCGATTTGTTAAAAATGCATATTTTTGAAAAACACCCCGTAACTCCGAAACGATGACAGATATCGATATGCGGTTTTCACCATCATGTTTTTGACAAAAATTGAGCTCCAGACACCGATTATTAGATAGACAAAGTCTATCTCCTATAAAAAAGGGTGTTTCCATTTAAAAGCGTCGAATTTGACCCACCCTGTACATGAGTTGTTAAATTTACGTTATTTTACTTTTTTCAGGGGGTAAATTAAGCGAGGGCCTAAATTTTAGTGATAATTTAGGCAGATGCGTTATTGTAGTAGGCTTGCCATATCCGAACATAATGTCACCAGATTTGAAAGAAAAAATGGGGTATTTAGATAATAAGGAGGTAATTTATATATGTACAGGGTGGTCGAAATTGGTGTCTTTTAACAGAGAAACCATATTTTCAGTATTTTCTGATTAGATAAAGCAAAACTGACATAGATGTCATGGGCTCGATTTCTGAGACATGTTTAATGTCATAAACCGCCTGTCGATATTTTCACTGCCAACTGAGATACGTCTTTTTGAATTTTTGCCCATTTTGAAAATTGCCCATAACCTTTTTAATTAAGGCACTTTTTTAAGCACAATTCAGTAGCGTAGTCAGTTTTTTTCAATACTTGCTCTGTTTGTCAGCAATAAAAAAAATATGTTTTTTAAATGAAAATCATAGTTGGCTATGAACTCAAAAAAATGCTGGCGTTTAATCGTTTCCAACGATATAAACAATATAAAATGTCTATTTCTAAAAATGAGAGAAATAATAGGTATTTTTCTTGTAACTCAGTGGGCAATGAAAATATCAACAGGCGGTTTATGCCAATAAACATGTCTCAGAAATCGAGCCCATGACATCTATGTCGGTTTTGCTCTATCTGATCAGGAAACATGGTTTCTCTGTTAAAAAAGACCAATTTCGACCTCTACCCCCACTAAAGATTTCAAAATGAAAATGTTTACACTGACTGTGATTATAACACAAAAATAATTTGTTTTCAAAAGTATACAATAAGAAAAAAATCACAGTGGTCTTAGAAATGAGAATAAGGGTGTATTCTGTTGCTTACCTTGGTTATGGTTTTATGTTCCGTTTCTATCGGTTTCCTGAAAAATTCGGTTATAACTGTCACCAAACTAACCAGCGCGAGAAGGCTGGTTTTTCTGGTTTTGTTTGTCAATCAATGTCATTTATGTGACAGAAATCAAGCAAATATTGAAAGTTCGAGTGAAATTCTCATTTAATTTCTAAAATTTGTAATAATATTTTGTATTTACATCCAAAAGCAATGGAGGTAGACAGTAAAGGTAAATAAATTTCATTAATTAACTAGAATGACTTTTTAGGACCATTTAAATTTATCATGCAGCCATTGTTTCTTAAAGTCAGAACATTTAAATAAAACATGAACAACAAGACAACAAGTAATCGTGAATGTTTTGTAAGCTATAAAAATATAAATATTGATTAGATTTGTTGATTTATTATTGATCTATTTTAATATTGGGCCTGAAAATCTTCACTTGGGCTGTCTAACGAGCTTAACATTTTATTAATAAAGTATTTTTCAATATTAGACTCCATTCGAAACAATCGTAAAAGCAGAGAACAGGTACATTAAAAATGCATAAAAAATAAATTTTATAATAGAGGTATTGAAATTTAGAAAACGTCAACATTTGACCAAATTGACCAGTATTTTACCAAACCGTTCTGTATCAAACCGATGTTTTTCAGGAACCCCTCTTTGCCGTAGTTTACCGGTCTGGTTCGCCTGGTTTTGAAAGGGAATACAGTCTTAATCATAATTTCTGTCAGGGCAACCGCTGTATCTGTCAGATATTTCCAAAGGAAATTTCATTAGGGTCCTGGTGATTTTCCCACTGCGGGGACCTAGTGATTTTCCCACTGCGGGGTCCTGATATACAGTCAATTGATATTTAAATCTGTTCATTCAATTCATGTCTCCGAATTTCAGACATTTTAAACTACGTAAAATTAACCAAGAGATTTGTAAAAAATATTAGGATGCATGAAAATGCTAAATAAAAACTTCTTTAAATCTATCAAGTAAATTTTTCGCAGAAAACGTTCGAAATTCGGATATATGAAAGTTAGCCTTTAAATAGAAAGAAAGTAGATAGTTTACTTAAATATTGCAAATCTATTTTATTATTTGAAAGTGGATTTATGTCTGGAAATGTCCTATTTTTTCTAAATTAATTGTTTTATCATTTTTTAAAGAACAAAGTATTGTTTTTTATATCATATAGTATTTTATACTAATAACATTATTAAAAAATAATTGTTTTATTTATAACAAAAAACTGATATTTAGGGTGCAGGGGCAGGACAAAAATTCTATGAAAACCTATGCATGAAAGCTGTCAATCAATGCATAGGAAGATCTGTCAGGCATAAAAACGATTACGCTACCGTTTTGTTACTTGACGAGCGTTACAGTAAAGTAAATGTTCAAAAAGCTTTACCTAATTGGATACAAAGGTCTTTAAAAGTTTGTAACTTTGCAGAAACATTTGTTGCAATTAATCAGGTAAAAATAACCTAACCACATAAGAAAGTTTTGATCATGTCGTCCATTTGTCAAAGTACAATAAAAATAAAGAACTAAAATAGGAAATACGATATGGAACTTTTTTAGAAAGTTGGGTCCCTAGATCCTATATATACTTACGTGGATAAGTAAATCACTATGGAAACTGTCGCAAACATCAACGACTTCCGTTTATCTTCTTTTTTTGTTGCACACACGGTGCTTCTACTCTTATCTATCCTTGTCGAGGACCTATCGTCCGCGCGCCAAATTTGATCATTAATTTAAAAAATTTAATTTGTAAAATTCTTATATTTGAACAATAAATTGAATGTTTACTGCCACAAAAATCAAATTATATAAAAAAATAAATTTAGCCACTCTGTACGAATATCAATATTCTTAGGAAATCTAACCAGAAGGTATGCATGCGGCTTAATATAAATAAAATAACAACTGAATACTTTACTTGCCTATGAAAAGATAATTCGGGGACCTTTATATTAGAACTTTCCTACACTAAACACTTTCTAGTCATTTTTACGAGTATTTAGGAAGTCCAACGAAAAAAAAATAGAAATATAATTGCACAAACTTAAAATTTAACTTTTCACTGAACACACTTGCATCCTTGGCTATATAAAAGCGGCCGATAAAAGTAATTAATACAATTTTTAAATAAAAAAAAAAAACAGGCGTCGTTACACAATGGAAATAAGATTATGACAATATAATGACAATGAGAAGTTGGTTTCCATAACAACGCATAATTTGTACTTTCTAAACCGTATAAAATTGTGATTATTTTGGAAATACTGCAACTTTTAACGCGCATGCGCAAAGTAAGGTCCTCGAGAAAGACAAACCTATTGAACGTTTCATAAGTGCAATAAAGAAGGTTTGAAAATGGCATGTCGTGATGTTGGAGATATATTTTTAATGGCTAAACTTATGACGTTGATTTATCCACGTAAGTATATATGATCTAGGGTTGGGTCCCACTCTGTATGGACCAAACCAAACCAAACCCAAATATGTTTTTAAATAAGCATGACAATGTTGCAAACACAGTTTCTAAACAATATGACATGGTTACAACTTTGTTTTGCATTCCTTTAATAATTAAAATATTTTTTTTAGTTTTTTAAAAAGAAAAACAAGCAAGCTGATTAACTATAAATCCTTTATTTTTTATTCTCATTGGAAACAAGTTCTATTCTATTCCGTTTAGAAAAATGTTCGATTTTATCTTCCAAGCTCTCTGCAATATTAATTATATTTTTTATACTTTTGTGATATGAAAATAAACTTTCTTGCAAAACTTACCACATTTTTGTCTTTTCATTACCGGAACATATTTCTTCGTTTTTACACCGTTTAACAAATTTTCACTTAAACATCTCAGTTCGCATGATCCATCCACTTGTTTCATTAAATTACTTATTATATCTTCTATCATAGCAACTCTAAAAAACATTTGTGTTATAAAAAAAACTCAAATAATATACACTAACTACTTTATAGATTTAAAGACCCATATTCTTCTCAGAGTTTCTAAAACACTTTTTAAATTGTCTTTAGAATACTGCCAATTTATATTTTCATAGCCACATCGAAACAAATTTAAAGGGACTTCATTTGCCATATGGTAATCTGGTTTTCTATAAAATAGAAATAATAAAACAGTTAGAACAGTAAAAAAATTATAATTATAACTATTTTTTTACCTTGGGTTTTCTTTTACATCTAAAAGTTTATTTATTATATCTGGATTTTCTTTTTTTGAACCTATTAAGAATAATATACCCATGATATATCTTATTTGATGCCACAAAAAAGCATTTCCTTGAATATTTGCCACATATATTGTGTATTCTGAAATAATAATAAATAATAATAATAATAAATATTTTTATTTCTATTTCTCTATATTTATTTCAAAAGAATGTTAAATAACATAAAACGAAACAGAGTCAAAAACAAAAATAACTTAACCTAGTTTTATGATTAATTTACATTAATTTACAGATAGGTAATCCTTTAAATTATATGGTTCCAAATCTATTAAAAATTTATACAAATTATTTTTGAAAGGCATGATATTATCTATTTGTTTCATATAATCGGGTAGGTTATTAAATAATTTCAAACAATAATAATATGGTCCTAATTCTGTTAATTTAAGCCTGTGGACTGGATAATTATAATCAGAATGCCTGGTGTTATATACTATCTGGCTTATCAATGTCAAATAGGTTTTTATTTTTAAAGAAAAATAACGTGGCACTCCTGAATTAATATAGCTGTCACTGTTAGTATGTTATTCTCTTTAAACTTATTTCTACAAGATTCCTTAATTTTCATGCCTAACATAACGCGTAGGGCTTTTTTCTGAACTAAAAATTTTATGTAGTTCATTTGTACTTCCGTATATTACCATTCCATACCTGATGTTACTCTCAAATATGGCGTGGTATACACTTTTTAAAGTTTTAAAGTCTAAATATCTTTTTAATATGCGCAGATTGTAGACCGATCTAGAGATTTTCTGAGCAACATGTTTAACATGTAAACTCCATGAAAGATTTTTGTCTAGATATAATCCTAAAAATTTTACGTTGTTTTCTGGTGTTAAATGTGTATCGTCTGTAAGAATAATATCAGATTCTTGTATATTCGTGCGCTTCGTTTGAAAGAAAATAATTTTAGTTTTAGTTTTGTTCAAAATAAGCTGATTTTTGTTAAACCAAATGTTTGCATTGTCTATAATTTCCCTTGATCTATCTAACAACTCTGGCATATTTTTTGCTTTAATGAGGAGATTTGTATCGTCAGCCTATATCACTATGTTACAATAATTAATATTTTCTGTTATTTCTAATATATCATTTATATACAGTAAGAATAAAATTGGACCGATTACACTTCCCTGAGGTATTCCTAGAGTTATATCGTCACTTTCAGATTTGACACCGTTACAGTTTTTTAGGATCACTACTTGCTTTCTATTTGACAAATACGATTCGAACCATTTAAGTGTAAAATCTCGAAATCCATAGCATTGCAATTTTATCAATAAAATATCATAATTCAGAGTGTCATATGCCTTAGACAAATCAAGAAATAAGCCCAAGGGAATATCATTTTGTTCTAAAGATTTCAATATTTCATTACAGAAATTAAACAAAGCTGTGACGGTGGATTTTTTTTCTAAGTACCCATGCTGTACATTATTTAATTGTCCCGTTCGGAACATAAAATTTAATATTCTGTTGCACATAATTTATTCAAAAATTTTTGAAAATGACGATAATGTGCTTATTGGGCGATATTTTTCGATATCAGAGTCATCTTCTTTTTTATATACAGGAATAACTAAGGCAAGCTTCAATCGGTCCGGGAATATACCATATCTGAACGAATTATTTATTACGTAACACAATGGCTTATCTATAACCTTCTATAACATTAATTACAAATTTTATCAGACATGTAGAAATCTCATCATAACCTGCACTATGCTTATTTTTTAATTGTTTTACACAGTTATTTAATTCTTGTATACTTACGTTGCTAAATTTAAAATTTTCATGATAATATGGAACATTATAGGTAAAGGGAGTTTGCTTATTTTTTTGTAAGAGTGATAATGCGGAGTTTATAAAAAAATGATTAAACTTGTTTGCAACTTCTGAAGGACTACCTTCAATGTTTATTTTCTTTTCACTACTTTTTCTACTTGTTAACTCATTAACAATAATCCAACTAGTTTTAGATTTGTTTTCAGATTTTTCTAACATTTTGTTTATTTTCCGTTAATAATTTGTTATACTCCTTTTTTTTATTGTTATAAATTTGCGAATAACTTTGATTTTTTTCTCTTAACATATATGATATATCGAGTTCTTTTTTACATTTTATAGTTGCTTCACTCTTTATAATGTTGTTTTTGGGTGTCATTTTTCTTTTCTCTACTAAAGGAAAACATTTGTTAAAATGTGTTAAAACAATTTTTAGAAATAAGTCCCATTGTTTATTTACATGCGAAGGTGGCAGCTTATAAATTGTATCCCATGATATTTCTGTTAAGGATGACTTAAACAATGCTTTATTTTTTTGACTGAATATTCGAACTTTTTCTCTTTTTTTATCTTTATGTTCCGATATTTCAATTTTTTGTGCAGTATGATCGGAGATCTTAGTGGGCAATACATAAGTTTTATAATTTTCACTAAAATTGGTAATTACGTTATCGATACAGGTAGAACTGTTTTTGCATATTCTTGTGGGTTCGGTAATAGCATAGTGCAGATTATATGACCGCATGATCGATAATAGAGATTGACAATTTCTATTACTGACTAGAAAATCTACATTAAAATCACCAAGAATATATACATGCATTTTCGTTATGTAGTTTTTCACATAAGTCTTCAAATTTGTTTAAAAATAAGTCAAATTCACTATTTGGTGGTCTATATATACATACTATTATAAATTTTCTTTCTGCTAGCATTGTCTCACATCCACAACACTCCAATATATTCTCTTCTCCAAAACGGTAAATGTCCTTTCGTTCTTTACACTAAGTTTTTCTCACCAAATATTGCACTACCACCGTGAGAATTAGGTATTTTACGACAAAAACTTGATACAAGATTAAAGTCACTTATTTTGTAACATTTCAGCTGATCTTCCGTCTTCCAGTGTTCTGTTACACATAGAACTTTACAAAGTTTTTCATCGTCTAAAAATGCTTCAATTAGTTCAATAGAATTTCCTATTGATTGCAGATTTTGATGGATAAAGTTTATTTTTGGCTTGTTCGAGTTTGATTGAGTTGTTTTTCCAGAGTTCTCACATGTACCCTGATTACTTAAAAAAATGACTTATCTTTATTGTTTACTTGACTTCTGTAATTCATTAGGCGCCTTTGATATACAGGACAATTCATGTCAAGGGCCGAGTGCTGACTATCTTCTGGTTTATATTTCATTTTAATACAATTAGGACAGTTAAAAACAGTTTGTGTGCATTCTTTTCCACAATGATCGGTCGCTCCACATTTGTAGCAAGATTGTGCTTCTTTGCAGTGATTTGAAATGTGTCCAAATCCGGCACAGTTATAACACACAGCCAAATTCAAATGCTCATGTACAAAAACTTTCATTAAATCAAAGTTTACAGTACCATTTTTTAAAAACCATTTAGCTATCGATGGTTGCGCTTCCAAGATCCAATTTTTTTTTGCTGGATTTCGACATCTTCGCTTAGCTTTGACTTTAATATTTTCTCTCACATTAGTTGTGGGGAGATCGGTTTCAATTTCGCTATTTAATCTAATAAGTTCTTCAATAAATTCAGTATCCGAGTACCCCTCTTTCAAAATTCCAGTAATCATAAACATTGGGTTAAGGATTTGTGATTCCTTAATCTTTATATTATTTTTGTTCTCTAATACTTGTCTTAGTTTTTTCTGCTGAGTTTCATTGCAGCTCTCTATTATTATTGCTCCATTTTTCAATTCTTTTATATTTTTAAATCCTCCGTCTGTATCCTGAATAGTAATTTCCTTTTTGAGCTGTCGAAGTGTTTGTTTTGAATCAACTACTTTATCTATACGAACTATAGTTTCTAGCTTTTTAGATGTTGTTGGCGTCTTCCAAATTTCTTCGTTTTTCTCTACTGATGCTGTAACCGGTGATATTTGCGATGGTTGTGCTACTGCAGTGTATGTTTTCTGCCGTGTTAATATGGTTTGTGAGGTCTCTTCTCTTTTACTTTTTTCAGTAGCATATATCTTGCAGTTGTAACTTACGCTCCAATGAATTTTTCTCTTGTTCTAATTGTCCAATTTTATACGCGATTAGAGATAAGTTTTCATATATATATAGTTGTAGTAGCCGTTCTTACTACAGTACATCTGCTGGATCTGTGTCTATGAAAGGAATGCGGGCAAAAAACATTTAAATAAACAGCAATATATTTTATACGTCGATTTGACGAGTGCGTCACCGCAAATCGCTCCGCCCACTCACTTTATTGGCTACTTGTAAATTTGTCGAATTTTTATTGATGGGACGCGTCGTCTAATTTTTTACGAAAAACATCGAGAAAATATCGTTTCCCCTCTCACGGATACCCCAGAGCTACAGAACGGACAGACGTACTGTATATCTTGTTTTCCTTTATTTGTTACTTTTTCTATATCATACAGTGCGTCAAACTTTTTTGATAATAACTGATCCATAGTTATGCTGTTTTTCTATTTATTTTCTTGAAGAGTATTATTTACAAAAGAAAGTTTTTCTGCTTTGTTCAGAACATTATCATTTAGCCAGTCACACTGCCTTTTATTTTGGTTTTCCACACCTGGCGACATATCAGGCCCCAGTCTCTTACCCGATGTTTTTTCTTCATTACATTGGTTGCCGTAGAGTGTCTGTGACGTCATCGGTGGAGGAGTGCGCGCGACCGCTCTTTGAGGTCTAAAAATTTCGTCCTGATTCATTCCACACTCACTTTCAAACTTTCCGACGTCCCCCGGTATGCTCGGTCTATTATCTACATTGTCCCTGCATTTCTGCTTATCTCGTTGTTGTTTATCTGTATATCATTTTATATCCAAAGTTTTTTTGCCCCCGGTCAGTTTATTTATTTCCGCGAATTCTGTAGAACCGACGGAAAAAGACCTAGTTTTTCGCACAATGTTATCGCTAACATCCGCGATTTTGCCACTAGCGGCTTTACTGCCACTACTATTTTCCCCCATGCAAATCTCAACTTTTAAGTTTGTCTATATCCACTAAATAACACACCGGATTTAAGAGCGTAATTTTAAAACGTGTATTCGGGACCGTATACATATACGAACTTGACAAATTAGACTTTAATTATTTTTATTAAGAAAGTAATTAATACTAACCATTAATTTTGCTACTTTCATTGTCTAAAAGTTCTATCCTGAAATCAAGTATATTTCTCACAAACTGTACAACGCCATTTCCAACATCCATTTTACAAAAATTTCTGAAATCATGACTCCCAATTAAACATTTTGACGCCTGTCTCATAGCCTGTAATGTAAATAAAAATGCCTTCATATATTATATAGACTTAAGCCTTGTATATGAATTTTTAAAGTAGCTCAACCTAAGACGTTTATGGATGTAAAGCACCAGATGGCGGGGCGTATTTCACAGTCTTTTACTAGAGAAAAATATTTTTTGTTACTCTGAATTTTGAAGCGGCCAATAAAAACAGAGAAAATAAAAATCGACAATTTTCGGACTGTGCCAATTGGTTACTAATCGACCAGATACTTTTTGTCTATTAGATATGCTATAAAAGCTGGTAATTATACAATTCGACCATGTAAATACCCGACAAATTCCGCAAGGCCGACGAGGTCGATGTTTTTCACTGATAAGAAAAAAAAATGTTTGTTTAGATAATTTTCGAGATATTTTTTCTTTCTGAATGCACATTTTAAAGTATTTTATATTCTTTGTCCGCTTGATCTATTATACTGGTCGCACGTATCGAAGTTTTATTTCTTGTAGTTTTAAAATATTTTCTTGTTTCTTTGTAGTTGTAATGTAAAATTAGATTAATTTATTAAGTTTGATTATAATGTTTAGTGTAGACTACCAGAAGAAATTTAGTAGTGTTTTTATATTTTATTTTGAAGTTAAGTAGTAGGTGAAGGGGTAATTTGGTTAATTTTTCTTTATGTTTGATTAATTAATAAGTTTGATAATTTGTTTAGTGTAGAATACAAGAAGTAGTTTGTGTAGTGTTCTTGTAAGAGATTATATTCATTTATTTTGTAGTTGAGTAGAAGGTGAAGGTATTTGGGTATTTTTTTCTTTTTGTTTTTCTTCTAATAATTATTGTAGTAGTTCTTTTAAATATTGTGATAGATACATTATAATCTTCCTTCTACTTTTCTGGTAGTTGAATATACGAAAAAAATCTGATCAAATTTATTTTAAATGAAATTAATCTAGTCTTATTAATTAATCAAATTAAACTAGTCAAATAATATTAATTGCAATCAATTATTAAAAAATATTAATTATTTTGGAAAATAACTTTTGAAATGGAGTATTATTGATAAAATTTAGCCAATTTTTTTTACCCAGTAGCGTATTTCAATATGATCTTATCATTTATCACTGTATAATAACTTTGTTGTGGCAGAAAAATATACCAGTTAGTTTCAAAATATTATTTTTTTTTCAAACGTCACAAAAGTATTAATTTTTGCGACGTGATTGACAATATAAAAAAGTCATTTTAACGCCTAGGCATAAAAGTAAAGCACTTTACGCCTAAGCATAAAAGTATGAAAATATATTATTAAAATGACATAAGTCTCAAATTCAACGAGCCGTAACCATAGTTTCTCGATATATAATTACTCATGGTACAAAGAAAACTTGAAAACAAGGTATGGTCGATAGCGTCTCCAATTTCGTTCAGTTTGCGCATATCGCCTGTGACGTCATATGCCATACAACAAAATATCCGTATTGTTCAATTGCCACTAATAAAAAAAGACCTAAAATAGGGAAGAATTAAATAACCCCTAAAGTTATGTAAAATCATCGAGCTGGACATTTGAAAAGTTATGACACATTATACACATTTATTATGTGTCATCTGTTTGAAAATTTGAAATTGGCGCGTGGAGCTTGCCGACCAATATTGCCGTTTATCACCTGTGACGTGGTGACCAACCTGCGCAATATCATACCTTGTTTTTTTTGTATCATGATAATTACTTACAAGGTATGAGTTTTAAATATTTTTATAGTTCAGATCGAACAGTCATACGAGACGGTCGTGCTTTCGTTTCGTTTGTGGACCGCCGGTATTGAACGTTTGTTTTGTTTTGTTTTGTTTGGATTTGTCGTGTGTTGTTATTCGGTCTTGACCCGACCCGGTTCAGTTCGCTAGTTTTCGCTGAACGTGCGTTTCTGCTTTATTTTATATAATTATTTTTATATAGATATTTTTTAAACGTGACCTAGCTTCGTTGACATTGACACTGTTTTTATTATTGAACTATACTGTCTTGTTTAATTTAATATTTTCCGATTTTGCTGTTCCTTTACACTTCCAAATGGCAGATTTTAAGTGTGATTCGTGCCAAAACCATCTCGGAAAAGGAAAATATAGACTTCGTTGTAGTGGGGAGTGCCGCCGCAACTTTTGTATGACCTGTACTGGGCTGGACAAGACAACCACAAAAGTGATCCACCAGCAAAAGTTCAAAAATATTAGGTTTTTCTGCAATGTTTGTGATTCTCCCACGATGAAGTATCTCCATGACAAAGTTTCACAGCTTCAGAAATCACAGATCCCTCTAGAAACTGTTGAAGGTCTGGGAACCTGTTTAAAAAGGAACAACGACCTGCTTCCAGTCATAACTGAAATCTATGACATATTGAGTTATCATGACTCCAAATGGAAGTCTTTATACAAAAAAATGGATGATATTCACTGCCACCACTCCAAAATTTCGGAAAATGGTCAACAATCTTTATTTCATTCGATCAGTGAAATAAAACAAGAAATACTCAACCTATCATCCATTTTTATGGACTTTCAGGATGAGTCTGTTAGGGTCCAGGTTCATGACTCTTCAAAGGTAGATCTTTTGAAGGAAGTCAGTGAGCTGCGTAGGAGCGTAAATCAGATGGCAACCACAATAGAAAAGTTTGCTGCCCAAGGCAAGCAAAATAATAGGAGTAGCCCACCAGCAATAAAAAAGTCAACTTCGACTCAGACAGATTGCCAAGCCTCAGTGGGTGTCACTTCTTCTAAAGTCAGTACTCCCCCACCTCACAAACCCTCCATTAGAAAAGCCTGGCATTATGTCGTTGTGTCCAATATCCCATCTCCCTTTACGGCAAACCAACTGGCTCACTATATCAAGGATAAACTTGGAACTTCGGACTTTATTCGTTGCTTTCCTATGCTTAATAGTGAGGACAGTTCACTCTCAAAATTCAAAGTTGGAGTGCAGAATATAAGGCACCTAGAGCGGCTGCTTGATATAAGTATGTGGCCCCCAGGAATTGAAGTAGTCAATAGCAATGTCCAACCATCTTTGACTCCCTCGGAGGTATCGCCGCAAAAATCAAGATCTTCTGCCATGGGATTTCAACAGCCTAAGATTTCCACTTTGGAGAAACGAAGCCTTCCACAATCTTCCAATTTACCTACAGATCTAGCCAAGGAGGTCAAATACGTTAAAATTGGTTCAGACAGGGAGGCTATAGCTGCGAGTAAGTCCTTTGGGCAGCAGGAGGCGAAAAATATTATCAATAAGCATCCAAGGGAAGGTGAGGTGCTGAGTTTGGACCCAATGACTCCACCTATTGTGCGGTTATCGCGTGAATCGGACACGGCCAATGGACGTTATTTGTTGGCGAGACTAAGGGACCCTTCGATATTGAAAGCTGTCAGGCTATTCCTTGCGTACCTCCATGACCAACCCCCCAGTGCGTGTTTTGAGGGACACACCAACACCAGCATCAAGTTGGCGCTAGCATCGGAAGGTCTCCCATGCGACATGGACTCCCTGCGCAAGTTGTTTTATCGCTTCCACGACGCGTATGGCATTGGCGTGGCTGAGGTTGAGGCAGATCTCTCCGCCTTCAGGACCTTTTTCTCATCAGAGAAGCTATTTCACCTTCAGAAGTCTAGGGAAAGCCACAGCAAGTATTTTTCCAGTGGCTCTCCATCTAAAAATAAAAATTTTTAATTCATTTGACGCGAACAGAGGATCAAGCACCCTCTGATAAATCGGACGATAGCAAGCTAGGTATTTTTCTTATCAATGTTCAGTCCTTAAGACACAAAACAGATGAATTATTTCTTTTATTGGAACAGCTCAAATTTCCTGAAATCATTGCCATAACGGAACATTGGTTAAATACCGATGAGCCCGTGTTTGTGAAAAATTACACAACAATAGCTAGATTTAATAGAAGTAATTTATCTCATGGAGGTACTATGATAATGTCTACCAACAAAAACCTTACGGCAATAACAAAATTTGATCACTTATTAGCCGAGAAAATGTTTGAATTTTCTATCATCTACCACATTGCTTATGACCTCTATATTGTTTGTATTTATAGAACACCTGACGCAGATATGCATATGTTCTTTCAGAAATTACTGAGTTTGCTAGAGTCCCTGCCTGTGAATAGCAGGTTGATCTTGTGTGGTGACCTAATATTGACTTCTCCAGTGTGTGTGATGCTCGGGTATCTCTCCAGTCTATCTTCGAGACTTTTGGTGTAGTAATGCATGTTAATGCACCAACAAGAATCACTAGAACTTGTTCTAGTACTATAGACTATGTCGTGTCATCCTTTGATCCAGAATTGGTTGACTGTACTGTGTTGAACTCAGGCTTCTCTGATCATGAAGGAGTATTAACAAAATTTTCCATAAAATCCGAGAGTAGAAACACTTTTCGTAAATTAGGACGTATTTTTTCGGAAAAAAACTTTATAAATTTTAAGCAGCTTTGTCTAACAACAGATTGGCATGTCATCTCTGGTGATGTAGACACTGAAGTTTCCAGATTTACACAAACATTATCTGGTCTGGCATCCAAAGCCTTTCCTCTCAGGCCTGTCAAAATTAAACATCATAAACCCTGGACTATTAAGGGCCTACGTACATCTGCAAAAAACATGCGCTCTTTATCTCACCTAAAAAATTCTCGGATAGTGTCTTCTTTCACGAGTACGTGAAACTTTACAGGAAAATTTACCATAAGACTATAAAAGCCGCCAAGGACATCTATTACAATAGGAGGTTGACTGAGTCCGGTAACATTGCCAAAGAAACATGGTCGATTGTGAATGACTTGAGGAGTAAGGTTTCTTCGTCCAACATAACCTCAACTTCACCTGAGGACCTAAACAATTACTTTGTAAATGTGGCGAAGAATATAGTGAATACTATCTCACCCTCCCTTGATCCTCTATCATTTCTCTCTGACTATAATGTTAATTTGCACAGTTTCTTCCTTACGCCTGTGGGGTTGGCAGAGCTTCGCAATACATTAAATGATATTAAAAATAAATCTTCAGCAGGGACTGACGGACTTACTCTTAAAATGTTCTCTAGTATGCCGGAATGTACATTAAACCATCTTTCAGCCTTAATTAATATGTCATTTGAAGATGGTGCTTTTCCAAATTGCCTTAAGTCGGCGATAATTATTCCTTTGCATAAAGGAGGTGATAAAGAGCAAGCTTCCAACTATCGTCCAATTGCACTCCTTCCCACGTTATCGAAGATCATGGAGAGACTGGTTAAAAAAGAGGCTTGTATCATTTCTTCTAAAATACAAAATACTCACCCCTTTCAGTTTGGGTTCTTGAGTAACAAATGTACAAATGACGCTATGTTTTCGCTGTTTAATAATGTATACTCCAGTCTGAACAACCGTCTCGTTACAGCAACAATTTTCTGTGATTTCTCGAAAAGCTTTCGATTGTGTTAATCATAACATCCTACTAACAAATTGCAGTACTATGGTATCAGGGGAACGCCTCTTGAATGGTTTAAGTCCTACCTTAACAACAGAAACCAGCGTGTGAGGGTTGATAAGACTGTGTCTTCTTGCAAGCCAATAGAATGCGGAGTACCTCAGGGCTCAGTGCTAGGTCCTATTTTGTTTCTGTTGTTTATCAACGATATTGCTAGTCTGGACATCAGTGGTAAAATCTGTCTCTTCGCGGATGATACTTGTTTCACATGGAGCAGCCCGGACACCACGGCACTTCATAGAACCATTTCCAGTGACTTAATCAACATAAAAACATGGTGCGATTCTAATTATCTGTGTCTCAACGTCTCTAAAACTAAAGTCTTATCATATAAAAGTACGTTGCTACCTTTTCAACTTGATAATACCACCATTGACGTCGTTGATTCTGTGAAATTTTTAGGCCTTGTTGTGGACAACTATTTAAAATGGGATTTGCAATCGATGCTTTAGCTAAAAAATTAAGTTCTGCCTGTTTCGCACTTAGATCAGTTGCTAATGTGCTTAATTTGTCAACATCTAGGACAGTCTATTATGCCCTTTATGAGTCGCATCTCCGATACGCACTTCCATTCTGGGGTGCGTGTTGTGCGACTCAATTTGAGCGTATCTTCAAATTACAAAAGAGAGCTGTGCGATATTCACTGAGGCTAACCAGTTGTGCTCACTGCCGGGACTTGTTTAGAAGATATAAAATATTAACTCTTCCTTCCCTATTCATACTCGAATCCGTCTGCCTAGTTCGCAAGCACGTATCGAGTATTTCTCTAGAGCCAGTTCATGGCTATCCAATTAGGAACGCAGAGCATAACATGTATCTGCCAACCCCTCACTCTGAGTTAGTAAAGAGTTCCCAATTGTACAATGCAAAAAAAAATGCACTATCATCTGCCATCTGAAATTAATTCCATTTCATCCTTTCCTGCATTTCGCAGAGCCTTGAGATCATACTTACTGGAGAAAGCCTTTTACGCGGTTAACGATTTTTTTATTAATATCTAGGGTTCTAAATTTAACACACATTCACTAAATTTAAGAAATGATTTTGTTTTCTATCCATTTAAATTTAGTATTGACATTATATATAGTTGTTTATTTACATGTATGTTTATATTTTATTTATATTTAATTAAATAAATTTTTGACAATGTACAATTTCTATAATTGTATAAAGTATTGTTTTAGTTTTGTATGTTTGCTGTTAGTTTTATATGTTTTTTTTTTTATATTGTTAAGTGAAGTTTTGTATGGTTTTTATATTCTTTTTTTTTAAGCTTTGTCAACAAAATTGTTTAATTTTTTTATGACAATAAAGCAATTTCTTCTTCTTCTTCTATATTATTTGGAACGTTTGAAATTGTTTAAAACATTATTTGTGGCGTTTGAAAAAATAAAAATGACTTTTGTGCTTCGGCTGTATGTCAAACCTAAAGTCTCGCCACGAAAAGTGTCATTTTTACTCCTAATAAAACAATATACTAGAATGTTTTATGGTTTAACGGGCTTTGTGAGTTAAAACATAATGATATTTTCAGTTTTTATAATTCTTGATCGAAAATAAACGGCGTCAGCGATGGCTATGAAATGAAGATCGCTGTCATTTTATATGTAAATTTATGTGGGAAATGTCGTCGACCGTCGGAAATGTCGTAGATCGTCATTTCCCTGCCAACTGGACGCCGTTTTTTTTTCATATGGTACAAAGTTAAAGCAAACTTGACTCTGACCATGTTTTACGCTAAGAAAGATTTATTTCGTGTAATAAAGATTTAAATGGTGTATTAAGTACATAATATTTATTTAAATGTCAAATAATATTATTGAAACAAGTGCCAAGGTTTATTTTTAATTAAGAAAAAAATTAATCAAGAATGTATAAACGTTTTGTTTTCAAAAAAAAAAATTATCTTAAAAACGTAAAACCTCAATTTAGAATAAAATGATCGAAGAATGAAATAAAATTTTATAGCCCTGGGTCAAATCGAAATAAAGTAAGTGTATGTAACTTTTTTTAAATATTAATAATTACCAGTAATTAGCATTAATGTACCAACATATTGAAAATTGTTATTTCTTTATTAAATACAGTTTAGAATCCTTAAAATAACAGTAAAAATAATCGAAAATCAACAATGAAATAATAGTTTTGTTTAAATTTCTTAATCAGCTGAGCCCTATTATAGTTCGCAAATATCCGAGCTATATTATTACATTACTCTGAGGGAAATACCACAAATAATCGATATTTTTGACTCCGCTCCTAATCACATGCTTCATTCTTTTAAAGCTTTGCGATTTGTTCGCCAGAGGCAGCACATTTTGTCGAGAGGTTGACCAACTTTAAGAATATATAAACAAGGACTTAAGTAAAAAAATATTACCTCAATATCTAGGGTTCCTTTTACAAAATAATATCTATACAAGCGACTTATACAGTCAAATCTAGAACTAAATTGAACAGGAACAAGTGCCCATGAGATACATTGAATAAAATCTGGTAAAACTCTGTTTAATACTTTACAATAATTAATTTCTTTGTCCAACTCGTGTTCATTTTCTTTGGTAAGTCTACTTCTTACTGTTATTGAAATTGTCTGTTAAAAATCAATAGTGATACTAATATAAGTGATGAAAAAATAACAAGTTACTTTACTTGTCCAAAAGAGCTAACGCCTTTATCTGTTCGACCACATCTGTTATAATTAGAAGAACTTCTGTCCTTTATTAAACACGTTTTTATTAGAGCTTCAAATAAAAAGTACTCAATAGTATTAGTTGTGTCTTCTTGTACAGCAAATCCTTGATAATTCCACCCTAAATAAAAGAAATTTAACAGAATATGTCTGTATCTACAGCTAAAAATGTCACTGATTAATTAATATCAAGATATAAATATGTATATATAATATAATGTATTGATTTATGACCAACCTAGTGAAATCAAAACTATTGCTATTTTGTTTTCGTTGGTGGTTACTATTAGATTTAGCAATAACATTTTGTAATTGAAAGTTATGTGCTTCTAAGGACTGAATTTTTGCTATGAGTTCCTAATTTAAAAGTAAAAAAGTCAGAAAAAATACAGTTTTTTGATAAACAAATTACCTCTTTAGATAACCGATTCAGTTCTTCGCTTGACAGTAATTTTGTTTGTTTCTTTATTTTTGCATTATAATCCATTTTATAAGCACACCGGTACGAAATTAAGAAAAAATAAAAATTCTGAATATCAAAATCATGTCTGAACCATAGAGAAAGTTAATAGTTTAGAGAGTGGTGAATCGCGTGGTAAAATGTTGGGAGATTGCGCTTTTAGCGCCCTCTACTTGGCTACAGGTACGAACTATGAAAGAGCGGGAGATTTAAATTATTATTATACTTATTATTTTTAAGGCAATTAAAACTAAGAGTGCCCTTAACCAAAAACAGTGATATAAATGGAGATACCTACTCAAATTTTATATTATCATGATACTAAAGGATACAAATACAGCATTTATAATCCTTTTGTGACACCTTTTTATTCAAAGTTATACACGCTAATATAAAATTTGACTATCTCATTTGTTTCAGAGTATTTTTGGTTAAGGGCACTCTTGAGAAAAAATTTTCCTTTTTTCATGGGAAAACGATTAAATGGGAAGAATTGAATGGGTTCTGGCGCGGTGACCAATTATTGCATTTTGTATTAATTTATAATACCCCTATTCTAGACAAATATCTAGCTACATTGTACTTACAGTTAAATAGCTACATTGTACTAGCTATATATACATTTTACAGTTTTATGAAGGCTATTTTTCTTTTCATCGTGCTTTGTCTGTGATTCGCGTCAGACTTGAGTACTATGGCTCGAGATGGCTCCAGGAATTATTTACCTTTACAGGCCTAGAATATGAAGATTCACAGTAGAATTTTTGGTTTTTACTGCCTATTAGAAACAAACCTACCCCCTACATCAAGGGACATACAATTATGCCTTGTTCTCGGCCATGATATTCCTTCCATTCTATATCCAACATCCAACTTAGCAGACCTGATTTCACAACAGGGCCTAGATATGGTCGGATGATATTTAGAATAGCATTTGATATCTCTTTCTATACAACTTTCATTTAATAATTAAATAGGAGGGCTGGATGGTATAATTTCTGAAAGAATAGCCAGTGAAATAAAAACTTAGGCATGGACATTACCTTTCTTACCTTTATCTGCTATTTTTTAATAAAAAACAACTGTTTAGTTTGCAGAAAACTAAAATTAACAATCAAAAATTTCTTAAAAAATGATCAAGCCTTTGTACTACGCCGCGTACCGCTTTTTGAACAAACAACAAAGAATGAGATTATACAAGGTAAATTATGATTATTGAACTAATAGGTACCAATTCGCCAATTTGGGGAGAAAAATGTCCCGATTCACCAAAATATCCCCATATGATTATTTTAACAAAAAAAAATAATTTTAATAAAAATACAATATTTATTATATATGTTAGAGAGATTAAACTGTAAATTACCTTCTTGTTTTTTAATCCCTTCCCTAGTAGTCATTAAATAATTTGAGGTCACTAAATTTTCTTTCAACTTTCTTGCAGCATTTGCAAAGGGAAGCACAAGTAAAAAGCAGATTATAATTTTTAAGTTGGGAAAGATATATCGTCCCGCTCTGTTTTTAAAGCTAAAAATTTTACGCCATTTTCAATCAGCAATAAAATGTTGAAACCCTTATAATTCAACTTTATTGCTAAAATCCCTGACAAAACTCCAAATCGGCTCCGATTCCCCAAAATTTGGGAATTCCCCTTTAATTGGCAACGCTGAAGGTTTAGCGTGTTCTTTCTGAATATGCTAAGACTAACGGATTAGTGTCGAAACACAGATAGCTAGATGGACGTATTTCGGCACTTGCGTCGATGCGCTACAGGTACATTTGCCTGCGCGTCGTATGTCTTCTGGCAGTCTTTTAATTTTTCTGTTTGTCTATGGTCTGAACCAGTCTGAACATGGCTTTGACAAGGAAAGAGAGGGGACGGGTAACACGTGATCGGATAGTGAGGCCAAAATTCGATCGGCGGCCATACTTTGGTGACAAGATTTCGAGGTGACACCGAGCGAATTTTTATGTTTTTTGTGACAACTGTTTTGTTTTAAATTTATAAACTGTGTTGTTTAGTATGGTGAGATGTTCAGAGTATGGCTGCAAAGGCCGAAGCGAGAAAAAAGTGGCTGGAATTACATTTCACAGGTAAAAATCGATACACAACTTTTGTTATGTGGTCATAAAATGTACATTTTTTTCATTATAGCAGTAAAAATATGTAAAATGCTTTTAATATGTCTTGCACCACATCCAAACCAAACTAATTTTAATAATTCAAAGTAGTATTTTCAATATCCTGTATTATAATTAATGTTTGAAACTATAAATATTGCTACTCAGACCGGATGTCACCAGTGGCGTAGGGAATTATAATCAGAGAAATACAATTTCTGGAATAAACATTTTTTTATATATTTTACATGTAAAAAAATGTATAAAGTATTGTTATCAACTATGGACAATTATTTTAAACTATAAAAAAATGAAAAATTCTAGTGATAAAAAATCTACATGTATAGTTATATAAAACTTAAATTTACCTGCCAAGATTTGTTGGGGTGGACAAACTTGTGGTGGGCTACTTGTTACTACATACATAATAATAATAATAATAGCTCCCGTATATAGTGTTTAACGCCTTGGGAGTAGCAAGGTACAGCTTGCTATACTAGAGCCGTTCGGTATACAAGGAAGGTAATGTGGCTAGCACTACGCTTCAACCGCCTATTATTACCTCAGGATTGTAAATCCCAAGTACTCATTTAAGGCTGAGTCGACCTAGGTACCCAAACTATTTTTATTTTAATAGAAATAGTCGGCTGATGAAATGCCGGGTGTGGGAATCGAACCCACACCTTGAGATTGGTAGACGAGAGCCTATACCTCTACGCCACCGGGCACCTTTACTACATACATATATTTTTTTAAATATTCTTTCAAAAAATTTGCTAATTTAAGTGTATAATAATAGTTTCAGTGAGTAATTAATAAGAATTTAAAAATAAATAAAATAACACAAAGCTTCTAGAGTTGTTTTATTTTTTTGTGAATAAATTCGGATATTCTTAAAAATAGGATATTCTTATGATTGAAGGTAACAAATATTAAAAATTACATTATTTATTGAATCCTTTGAATAAGAAGACTAAGGAAGGAGCATATCAATAATCTTAGGTACACCGCGATGGGCCTCAAATATGGCCGACTTAAATTCCGGTTTATCAGTGTCGTTCTAATTTTATTTAAAAAATGTAAAACTATGATGTAGGGTAGACGTGGGGTAGGCTCAATAATTTGTTGTTTTATTTTACGTTGTGAATAAATGTTGGTAGTTATTAAAATTGTTATAAAAATATATAATTCTAATAAAAATAGATAAGTTATAATAAGTATTTATTAACACAAATATCCGATACGCTACTGCAGCAGGTAAGTCAAATTAACGTATCTAAATTCTTTGACATCTAATCTTTGACAAGTAATAAATAAAAGCTAAAATGCAAGAAAAATATATAATTTAGTTAATTTAAGTGAATTTCACAAATGATCGGTTTACTACACGTATGTATATTATATAGTCACTTACTAGCGAAAAGTTGTTCCATTATTTCACTCAATTTTTGCCGAGATCTACCGCACGCTACACAACCAACTATTTTAGAGTCTTTTTCGATAAATCGCGATAGTGTCACTGTTAATTTAAGTTCTGCCACAATTTCCATCTAGATTTACTACCTTTATGCAACTATCAGTAGTAGAATAAATAATAAATAACATAAAATAAGCTCCGTAAAGACTGACAAATCCACAAAATTTCAAATTAAATTCAAATGTGTCAAATGAATCGTCAAACAGAACTGTCAAGGATCCCCACCTTAGGGTGCAGCCACACTATCCTAAAAACGGCGTAACGACCTTGAATCGATTTCCAGTAATTCTATTGGCTGAAACATTCATCTGTCAGAAATTTTATCTGTCAAATTCATCTGTCAAAAATTTCAGCCAATAGAATTACTGGAAATCGATTCAAGGTCGTTACGCCGTTACGCCGATACGCCGTTTTTAGGATAGTGTGGCTGCACCCTTAGAGAGCTTTTATGGTGGCTTTTCCGCCCACAATGCATGAATACATGGATAGCATTATGCTCCTTCCTTAGTCTTCTTATTCAAAGATTGAATCCGTACGCAAGTGTGAAGGGTAATGACTAGATTCATTATTATACCGTATGGTCGAAAAATAAACGACGTCCAGTTGGCTTGTAAATAGAGAACAACGGCATACGGTCGAGTCGGCCGCTGCTGGCACGTAGACGTAGACGTAAAGAATCTTTTACGTGCATAAAAAATAAAAATATAAGAAATGCGCATGCGTACGTAAACGTTTACGTGTTTGTAGGCCGACTCGACCGTATGCCGTTGTTCTCTAATGACGATTGATGACATTCCCCATATAATTTTACATATAAAATGACAGCGATCTTCATTTCATAGCCATCGCTGACGCCGTCTTTTTTCGATGTCGTTTTGTATAGTTTTTATGTAATTTTATATGTAGAATTATATGGGGAATGTCATCGATCGTAATTTACAAGCCAACTGGACGTCGTTTTTTCGATTAAACGGTATAATAATGAATCTAGCCAATTCTCTTCACACTTGCTTACGGATTCAATATTCAATGAATAATGTAATTTTTAATATTCATTTGTGAAATTGTCATTTCCAAACAAACAAAACGCCGTTTTTTTCGATCATACAGTATATATGTATATACACGTTTAAAATATATGTTATTACATTATTTTTTATTTAATTATACATTATACACACGTTAATAAATAAATAATTGTCTTGATAATCAGTCCACTGTGACTGTTAAATAAATTTTGCATTATCGACTTAGATATTCTAATATTATAAAGGTGAGACTATAAAATACAAAATTGTATATGCATTACTCAAAAATGAACGATATATTAGTCTACGTTTTAATAAATATTTTGTACCGTCTAGGTACAAGCTAATAGAGAACAACGGCATACGGTCGAGTCGGCCTAAAAACACGTAAACGTTTACGTACGCATGCGCATTTCTGATATTAGAGAACAACGGCATACGGTCGAGTCGGCCGCTGCTGGCACGTAGACGTAGACGTAAAGAATCTTTTACGTGTATAAAAAATAAAAATATAAGAAATGCGCATGCGTACGTAAACGTTTACGTGTTTGTAGGCCGACTCGACCGTATGCCGTTGTTCTCTATTTCTTATTTTTTATACACGTAAAAGATTCTTTACGTCTACGTATACGTGTCAGCAGCGGCTGACTCGACCGTATGCCGTTGTTCTCTAATTTCTGACGCTACGCCATTGGAGAATTTCGGGTGGTGACAACTTGGCTCACTTTCAGCTGCCGTGTTACTTGTCCCCTCTCTTTCCGTGTCTAAAGGAATATGGTCTGAACAGCTGTCAGTGATGGTTGTCATTTGTCATTATGTCATTCTTTAGAAAATTTGTAGCGTCACATGACCTGTTTTGTTCCCGTGACCAAAATCGTACTAAAATTCAAATATTTTAGGAAAATAATATTTTTTCATAATTATGGATTTATTGGATCCTCTTGAGAGAAGGTATCAGTTATAATTTGTTTAAATTATTCTTTTATTGATACGGAAGATTATATAACGTCTTTGACAAGGTCAAAGTAACTTTGATATTTGATAACTGATTAATACAATAATTAGATAAAGGTAGCATAATAACAATAATAACCTGTTTTTAGCGATGATATTGAAATAGAGGAGCAAAAAGTAATTTTAGACAATATGAAAGGAGCTGCTTCTATGGATAGTGATTGTGATGATGATCAAGCTTCAATTGAACACTTGGCACCACAAACTCTACTGGAGACTCCTGATAGTGATGTGCAGTACTCTATAAGATCACCAGAAGGTTTGTAAATTTACGTACAATTATTCTGTTTATAACAGTATATTATTTAAAACATGGGATTGTTTTGACTAGTTGTTTGGAAAAACTATATATATTAAACAATCTATTTTATGTTAAGTACCTATTAACTATTCCAAAATTAATGTATCCCATTATAACCTAAGAATTTAGGATTTTTTAAGCGTTTCTAAATTTAGATCTTTGATTTTTATATTCACTATTAGAGATTCCCCTGCTTTTAGTGTTATGCATACTCTGCTTTTATTTTCTGTAAACATAGGACTTATTATATAGCACAACATAGGACTGAGTTAGGATTTGAATGAGTAGTTTGGAATCTCCATTACAAAAAAATTGTTTTGTTCAAGTCTCGAATGTTTATTTAATGCTCTACTTTTTTGGTGAAAAAAACTGTATTGCCTGTCAATATTTAATCTATGTAAAGCGCTGTATAAGAAGTGTATTTATCTTACTTTTATTTTTCTTTGCATTAAAAAAATAAGTCTGTTTAAAAAAAATACTATATAAATAATACTCTTATAGTAACACTATTATTCTCTATCTATACTATATTTTTCAACTTAAGGTCTGCACATTATCTTACACATCTCGTATCCTAGCAAGCTATTTCCGTTCTAGCAACCAGAATATGTATCCACATTAGGGTGTCCGTTATTAATTTATAAAGTTGATCATTTCTCTTACGACGCCCTCTAAATTTTTAGTTTAGTGTCTAAAAAACAATAACAGACCATTGTAAACCCTTAATATTCACAATAAACCTTGCCCTAAAGACGATTCATTTCTCATTTAAATTACATGGGAATTTGCCACTTTTTGCAAATCATTTTTTTTCTCTCGATCTTGTTCTCTCGCAGCCATTACAATTACATATTCTTCTACAGAATTGAACGCTCTACAAAAAAGGTCTCTTACAATTTTTCGATAAACCTACTCCTTCAAAAGTTATTCACGGTTAAAGTTAACCACTCGGTAAATTCCTAATTTTTTCAACTTTTTTGGCAAAATTATGATTATTTTTTCAACTTTTTTGACAAAATTATGATTATTTTTGAAAAATTTAATCTATTATTTAAAAAAAAAACAATTTTCATGATACCATGATAAACAATTTTGAACAATAATTGAATGCATGACGGGTAGTTAATTCAAATACTTATTCAGTATCAGGCAGAAAATGGTTGAAGCTTGAAGTGAGTAATTACGAAGAGTTCAATATTTCTAACCGCTGTTTTTCTGTGCTAACCGCTGTTGATAAATAAAAACCTTGATTATTTCATAAATTCAAATTCGTTACAATTTTTACACGGTTTAATATTGATACAAGTTTTCGGCAGTTAAACAGTACGGAATGGTTAAAGGATCCTGGATACATGAGAGGCTTGGAAATTGTGAAAAATTTGAGAGTAGTTAATGATACTGCAAAAATAGCTGTTAAATTGTCAGAAGAATACATTAATATTTTATCTAGAAGTGAAGATGAAAAACAATGTTATTCAGACTGTAAGAGAGTATAAGAAGAAATATCAAAATCCAACTAAAGAATGTCTATCAAAAAATAAGTCAGCTATATTTAAATGGTTTAAACTTCGTTAGACTTGAAAATTTCTTAATTTTATGCTTTTAGCCTAACCTTAACACTATCAGAATTGTAAATTTTTACAGAAATAGATTAATTTTTTCAAAAATAATCATAATTTTGTCAAAAAAGTTGAAAAATTTAGGAACTTACCGAGTGGTTAGTTTTAACGGTGAATAACTTTTGAAATAGTAGATTTATGGAAAAATTGTAAGAGGCCTTTTTTGTAGAGCGTTCAATTCTGTATAAGAATATGTGATTGTCATGGCTGCGAGAGAAAAAAATATTATTTGCAAAAACTGGCAAATTCCCATGTAATTTAAATGGGAAATAAATCGTCTTTGGGGCAAGGTTTATTGTGAATATTAAGGGTTTACAATAGTCTGTTATTGTGTTTTAGACAATAAACTAAAAATTTTTATAGGGCGTCGTGAGAGAAATGATCAACTTGGTAAATAACGGACACCCTACTGTATATCTACTAACTAATGTTTTTCAGATTCAAAAGGTTACGTCCTGGAAACGATAGATGTATAATAATGTGAAAAGACCATTAAGATACAATACAAATGATGACCTTGAACGGATAATAGAGTATGGTTTGAGGTACTGGGTAACCAGTGTAACCTTGCTGTACTATGTTAAAAAGTTACACACCTCTGACGCTTTGTATACTTTTATTTCAAGAAATATTTTAATTTATTCAGGGTCCAGCAATAATGCGTCGGGCATCTGTAGCTCCTGGAATAAAAAACTTTGTATTTCACGAAAATATTTTAATTTCTATAGGGTGACTCTAAAAAGTGAGTGGGAAAAACACCCTGTATATTATTGCATTTTTGGTTTCCTTTCAGATCACTTTACATAATCCTAAGATATGAGTAAATACATTTCAATAATTTCAGAGATATTAATAAGTAAATAAAAAAAATATATACTTGTCAAACTACTTCCCAGTACTTCCTTAAAAAAATTATTACAAATACAAGAACTGTCCTGATATGAAAACTATATTAATTAGGTATTTACCCTAAATAGTCTATATTTACTTTGCTATAAATACGGTAATCGTAAATCGTACAGGGTGTTTAAAATTCTACTTCAAACTTTCTAAAATATAAAATAATTTTAATTCATTTTTTAAATGGAACACCCTGTATATTATTTTTTTATTTATGGGATGGAGTTAAAAACAACATTTTTTGTATTTAAAGCATTCCAAAATTTTTAATGGTTTCGCAGATATAGACACAGTATTATTTCATATTTATGACTCCTTTCAACGGTAAAATATGAGAGAAAAATCATTGGGTGTCTTGACTGTCTTTGATAAAAATTCACTGTGGAAAATGCCATATGAACTATAAAACCGCAAACATCTGCGTTAAAAATTGTGAAATGTTTTAAATTCAAAAAATGTTTATTTTTTAACTCTCCATCTAATAAAAAATAATATACAGGGTGTTCCACTAAAAAAACAAAGAAAAATTATTTTATATTTTATAAAGGTTTGGCGTAGAATTTTAAACATCCTGTATGATTTACGATTATCATATTCATAGCAAGGTAAGTACAGGGCATTTAAAGTAAATACCTAATATAATATATTAGGTATTTATCAGCTAGGTATAATAAACCTGATTTCAGGACAGTCCTTATATTTTTAATATTTTTTTAAGAAAGGCTGAAAAATATATATTTTTTATTTATTTATTAATATCTCTGAAAGTATCGAAATATAACTCATATCTTAGGATTATGTAAAGTGATCTGAAAGGAGGCCAAAAATACAATAATATAGAGGGTGTTCCATTTAAACAAAATAAATCCGATCCACTCACTTTTTTGAGCAACCCTATATAAGTTAAACTATTTTCCTGAAATAGATCCTAGTACCTACTTTAGATTTGCACTTAAACAAAATTCCCAAGTTTTTTATTCTAGGAGCTACAGATGCCCGACGCACTATTGCCGGACCCTGTATAGGAATATTTATCAATTTTTCTTAAGTTGTCAGTTTACCATGGTTAATGCCATTTTTATTCAGGTCCACTAATAACCTATAGAGTGCTACAGGTTGAAAATGGTTCAGATCCTTCCCAATATGTGTCAACCACATCGAGTTTCTCAAATTCAACAACCATACCCCAAGTGATATCCGGAAGTGGCTTAAATGGACAAATATACGTTATCGGAAGTCCAGAAGTTTATACATCGACAAGTAGTACAAGAGCTATAGCACCCAGACCAACAGTGATAGATAATTCTATGTTATTACCAGTTAAGGCGGTGAGTTATTACTGCTAATTTCTACTTTTAATGCGAGGTCGTTCCTGTCTCACAGTGACTCAAAACTTTCTTATTCTTATTTTTCCTCACACTTCTCCTAACAGCATTTTCATCTCATCAACTAGAGGTGGGCAAAGATTGGACGAGTCGTTCATTTGAACGAGTATTAAAAATGAATCGTGAGATTCGATTCATTGCTTGCAATCCGGTTCGTTCAATTGAATCGTGGCCAGCACGGATCCATAACATTTGAACGATGAGCCGTAAAAAAGAATCGTGAGAATTGAATCGGATCACAATGAATCGTGGCCAGCACGGATCCATAAGATTTGAACGATGAGCCGTAAAAAAGGATCGTGAGTTGAATCGGATCATAATGCAATCGTTCATTTCTACGGGGGCGCCGGAGGCAGCGGTGAAACAATCGTAGGAGTCGATTCAATATGAGAAATTGAATCGTGTGATTCAATTCACTAAAAAGAATCGTAATGTCCATCACTATCATCAACCTTTCCAAATAATAGTTGGCCTCTTTATCCACAAAACAGTTGTTTAGGCATCATTTCGTTTGCTTTGGAACCATTTTCTCTTGGTAGTGCACTGTTTTGATTGCATTTCGTTTTGTGTATATAATATACCCATGTGAAGCCATGCAAATATGCTGATTGTTGTTATTTCATATCAAAATTTTATTTGAGTATGTGAAAATTACATTCATTAGACTTGAGTATGCCTCCAGCTATTTTTTAATTTAATTTTTTTTCAATTTTCAATTCAATTTCAAATCAATAAAAAGGTTATAAGTTATAAGTTCGTAAAGTCTATTTCATATTTTGACAAAAGTCTTGACGTCATGTCTAACATGAAAAATTCCCGAATTTCCATTTGTTCCCGGATATTTTCATTTCACTCTCTCGCTTTTGGATACTCCTCGGGATACTCTGACCGATCTTCTAAGTGCATCCGTTTCGGTTGCTTCTATTATTCTTTTATGTTTTTCTGTCATTCTCCAAGTTTCTGAACCATGTAACAAATTACTTTTAATTGGAGTGTTATTACTATACTGGCTAACGAAATCTCGGGTCGGCGCGCCGTTTACATGTATATCTAGTAACTGCGCTATGGCGATCTATTTGTCTGTTAAATGCTTATTTTGCTGAGTATTTTGCTTCTAGTATGAAGCAGTTCCTATATGGCAGTTTTGATGGAAAGCTGTAAATGTGTCTCGACTATCTTTTATTAGTATGTAAATATCATAATACTTTGCCTCAAAGTCATAAATTTGAACCTTAAGGTAATTCTACCAAATAAATAGAACAGCTAAGATCAGGTGATAAGGACTTGGCAAAACGCAAACATCAGATTGCCCTAAAGGAATATAAAGCCTTTGAACGCGAATTGCTTCACGCGAAACAAAATTTAGTTAAATTAAAATTATGTAGATATAGGTCCACGAAGCTTGATGTAACTCAGTCCGGACCCGACTCTGTTAAAATACCAGAACTACCCATCTCTAGTGCCAACCAAAGACATCTAAATGGGTAGACAACACTCTATTCATAAAACTCAATTTTTTAGAATCATACATGGCTTGACACTTTTATGAGAGTTAAAAAGAGATGGGTACATAAATATGACAACACGGTCGAGTTTGGTCTATCATTCTGTCATTTGGCTCTATCAGTGGCGTGACGGTGGCGTGATGTTTTTTTATCAAAAATTGATGAATTTTATCAAAAATTGATTGGGATTGCCTCAGACCAATTTTCCAATATAACTAGTTGTGCCTGAGGTCTAACTGAGGGTAACTCTAATTTCACAATCGAAAGCGCCAACAAATAAGAAAATATACGTATTTTTGTAATAATCTACTTAGCTATAACTAAAAGTATCTAAATACGCTACTGTAAGCATGGCTAAAGGTAAAAAAACGTAATGACACTTACCGTCGAAATATCAATTCCGGGTTAGAATAGTCCACCTTTTTACAAACTATGTACTGGCGAATCATCGTAGATAGTTAAAAACTACTTTAAATAGTTTTCTTTGCAATAAATACTAATAATTATTAGAAAGTTGTTCAAAAGCTACAAAAACTTTCAATTACCGCAGAAAACTCACAACCGCGCGCTGTCAAATATAAATTGAATGAAAACAAATGAAAACGTCAAATGTCAGCGTAATTTCTACAGATTTCGACAATTTCATAGTAAAGATGAATGCGCACAGCGATGCTGCTAGTTGTCATTGTAATTTCCCTAATATAATTTAATTAGAAAACTAAAAATAATTTCAAAGGTATAATCCTGGCACAATCTATGTATATTAATTAAAGTTAGATACCTATGCAAATATTTATAGTTTAACGTTTCTATAAGCCCGTGGTTACATTGGATGCGTGTCCGTACGTTTCTTTGGTCGTACGTACACGGACGTGAACGCAGCAAAAAAACAAACAAATGCTATCTACGCAGGCGGTTACATTGCATCGGAGTTTGCGCGTCCGTGCACGTACGTCAATTCCCGTTGGTCGGATGAAAACAAACTGGTTTGTTTTTTTAATACGTGCACGTCCGAGCGTTCGAATTTTTCTTCTCAGATCCCAATACATTCTAGAAAAATTTGAATATTTTTGAATACCAGGTTTAATTTTATTTGGGATATATTAATGTTGATGGAGACATCCTAAAATATTCAAAAAATTAAACCGGTTGCTGTCTTAATTCACAAAATGTTTTACATATTCATTTTCTTCTCCTCTTCTTGCATATAAATCATTTACCCAACATTTTCTTCTTTTCAAGAGTAGTTATTTTAACATTATATCCTCACACAGCATCAAAGTTGTGGCGTTTGTTTTGACAAACTCAACACACAGGACACCATGAACGCGCATCTAATGTAATCACTATAATAAAATAGTCGTGCGAGTAAGTAACGGTTCGTGATCGCGATAAAATGTAAATTGTTTTGTCTCCTTTTATTTAGATGTCTTTGGTGCCAACCCTTCTTTTATGAACCGCCACTGTGTTACCCTGTAACTGTCCCTGTGTTACCCTGTAACTGTCCATGTATCAATAATTGTGTAATCTGACAATTTCTATTGTTTTACAGAAAGATGATAAAAGGAGAGCGATCCACAACGCAGTAGAAAGGAGGCGAAGGGACAAGATTAATAACTGGATAGCAAAATTGTCGAAAATCATCCCCGAAGGTCCACAAGATAGCAGCAAAGGCAACGGCCAATATGAAGGCCACTCCAAAGGGGGCATTTTAGCCAAAGCCTTCGACTACATCATCGAGCTGCAGGCCACAGAGCGGCGCCTCAACACTTGCCTGAAAGATAACAAGAAATTGACAGTTTCTATAGAACAGCTAATACAGAGATCATGCGCGTTGGAAGAGGAGAATAAACAGATGCGCGAACTGTTGAAAGAACACGGACTCGAAGTGCCCGCCGCGCAGCCCTCATAGCTTAGTTTAGTTAGTGTTAAATATAGGATTATTTGAAATAAGAGTATTTCGGGATATCTGATCATGCCTTAAAATTACACGCTCTGATGGAATGGTATCGCAGTGACTAAGAAATCGCGATTCGGGTTAGTTTTCCGACCTCCCGTAGATACAAAAAAAATTCTACAAAATCTCATTGCAAGACCACAGATTTAGTTTATTGAGCGCAACTTTCAACTTGGGGAATAAAAGAAAGATAACGCTAAGGTTAAATCAAACAAATAAGGAGGGACCTAACATTTAAATAGAGATTGGACATCTTGAGTTTTACCATGGCAACCAGCAACCACAAAGGTGTGAGTACAAATGTGTTTTACTGCAATCTGCGTGACTGATTATTAGGTAAAAATATAGAGGTACCGCAAAAAGTTAAATACAAAAGTTATAAGATTTTTAAATATCTATTATCGAGTAATAAATTTAAGTATACAGGATCGTTCATAAAGTCGTGGCACATCAAAGTTTAATTTTTTTAAATAGAACCCCCTGTATATTATTACATATTTTGATTCTTCCTTCAATTCTAAGCAACAATCGAAATACACACAATGTACCTCAAAGCAACCGTTTCCGAGTTATTGACTTTTGGAAATATCACTTAAATAATTTGTTTTAATTAATTTTGATGTGTTTGGTTTGATTTAATGATGCCATTTTGCCGAAACTGTGATACTGTTGTAATGGGTTTTTAAATTTCTATTAGCTACTAGTAAATTTAAGTATACAGGGTCAGTAAAGTTGTGTCACATCAAACTTTTTTTTTAAATGAAACCCCCTGTATATTATTACATATTTCAATTCTTTCTTCAATTTTAAACAATAATCGTAATACACAATGTACATAAATTGAAGAATTGAAATGTTAAACGAAAATTTTGTAATTTCCAGACTTGTTATACTCTCATTTTATACATCTATAAATGCTAACTTGAGATCTAATGTCAAATATTATTAAGTATCACAGTTTCGGCAAAATGGCATTGTTAAATGAAACTGAACATATCGAAATTAATTAAATCAAATTGTTTAAGTGATATTTTCAAAAGTCAATAACTCGGAAACGGTTGGTTTGTGGTACATTGTGTGTATTTCGATTTTTGCTTAGAATTGAAGGAAGAACCGAAATATGCATTAATATACAGGAGGTTCCATTTAAAAAATATGAAACTTTGATGTGCCACGACTTTATGACCGACCCTATAACTTTTTTATATAACTTTTTGCGGTACCTCCTATATTTTACCTAATAATCGACCGTTTCCGTACATAAAAGCGACTCTGTACATCACTTATACACAGCTTGAAAAAATATAATATTATTCTTTCATACAGAATACAAGTTCTTCAAAGATTTCTTAGTCATTGATTTTCTTTTGGCATTTGACATGTTTCAAATTACTTAAATATACAGGGTGATTAATAGGCGATGATAGGTTAGATGTTTGCATAGAAATAGGTGTTGGATTTTACACATTCACTGTCTACCCTATAATCAACTGCGAATCATCATGTATGCTCTAAGACGCGTCGACTAGTATATTATATACATATTAAGATTTATATTTAACTTTTATAGGTAACCATAGAAAATGAACAGTTATTAATTAGTTATTTGCTTAAGTAGTTTTATTCGAATTGAAACAGAATATTCTTCTTTCAAGTAATTGCAAGTGCAAGTTAGAAGCTAATATATATTTTTTTATTATATTGATTAAACTGTTATTTTTACTGATTTTTTTATGAAACTGTTGTATTTTATCCAAATCTCCTAAATATTTATAAAAAAGGACATTTATTATGTTAAATTACAATGTGATTTTTCTGTTAATAAAAAATGCATAGATGAAATATTTTGTCTGATTTGCAATATGAAGAGTAAAAAATACTAATTAATTTGTATCCTATTCATAATTAAAAAAATATGATATGATCTTTTAAAATATATTTATTTATTGAGATTACATCTTTGGACTGATATGATTATTGTCTTCAAACTAGATTTAACTGTATCTGTATATATTGGGAATGTTATGACATTTTACTTTGGCATAGATGTACGTAAATTAACACTTAAGGCAACCAAGGCAACTAAGATATATAAAAAAATCCAGCTCTAGTATTTTTTACCTAATAGCAAATTGAGTAACATCTATATAAAATTTAATAGTTGATTTAGATTTTTAAACTTAGTACCATACCCAAAAACTGTTCATAATGAATAGTAATTACACCATCTTGATCAGTGTCATACTGTCGAAATGCTGATGTTAAGGTCTACAAAACAAATAATAAATATATTGGTAGTAATTTACTTGTAAAATACTTACATGTAAAACAATGCAAGCTTGAATGAAATCATCAAACAATATAGTTCCATTTCCGACACGATCGAACTTTCGAACTAGTGTACTCATCAAATCATCGGATAAGTTGTATCCAAATGAAGTAAGAGCAGTTTTTAATTCACTCTTATCAATATTTCCTGAATTATCTCTGTCAAATGATTTAAAGCAATTCTGCCAATCAGTTACATATTTCCATAATGCTCCAAAATCATCAAAACCTATTTGACCTTTATTGTGTCTATCAAACATACCTATACAGATAAAAATATATTTAGATACTTTTTTAATCTACTCGGTGAGTATTTAGTCATATTATGACTGCTATAAATAATTTCACTATCGACAAGCTATAAATTAGTCACATATCCTTGTTTACTTAGCCATAAGGCCATAAGTTTTCCTCGTTTATTTTAACCTACCAATCATTAATCTTACAGTTTCAGGATTAAAAGGACTCCATGTTCCATTTGATAGGGCTTGCTGTAATTCATTGGCATTTATAAAGCCGCTTCTGTCCCGATCAACACTAATTAAAAAATAAATATTTAAAATTCGCTAACTGAAAAATGTAAGAGCATATAATGATTACGTTGTTATTTACTTACCTTTGAAATATTCCCCATAGAAATTCTTGGTTTGGAAGGGCCATATTTCCTTTAACTTTATATATACCAATTGATATAATCGGTTTATAATAGTTCAAAGCTCAAAGTTTTTAATTGAAAGATAAATTAGTTTGATCAATTTTAACAAAATTTCAAAATTTAAAAAGGATAGGACAACCTTACCACAGAATATTAAAATTTTATATATAATCTTCTTTTTTTTTATTGGGCATTTTCACGGATCATATATATAATTATTTCCTATGTGGACCCGGTCGTAACCAGGGATATGAATTAAGCCTATATCTCTGATTATACTTTTGTGCTTTTGACTTGTCTTGTCTGTGGTATTTTATATTTCTCTATGGTCTGTGGTTTGTGGGCTATGTTTACATTAGTTGTTAATTTCTGAATTAAAATTTAAAAATAAATAAAAAAAGGGTAGCTGAAATATATTCAGCCTGTGATTCAGCACTAATGGGTATCGACTTTGATATATTGGAACATTGTAAGAAAGTAAGGGCCGATCACGGACCTCCTTATACATGTCCTGTGGATAAATGTGGAAGAAGTTACAAGACTGTTTGTGGTCTACAATATCATTTAAAGGTACTCTCGCAAGGAACCTTATTTTTATTGCATGCATGATTTCTAACTAGTACTTATAGCAGCGGCTAAATAAAATACCTACTTATAAATGGTATTGGTGTTTTAGAGCTACAATCATGATAATCCAACTCCAGTAACTCCTTCTACGCCTGCAACTCCAAAAAATAAGAAAGGAAGAAATAGACCCAAAGCTGCGACACCTGCTGTTAGTCAAAACATTCCAGAACCTTTAACTTTCGAGGAAGCACAAAAAATGGTACAGTTTGAAGTGAATGGGGTTATTTGCCGGTGAGTATTTTGTTAGTGTTTTGGTTTAGTTAATATTAATTAATCTAATTTTTATGTTATAGTTGGAATATTAATGATCCAATAGAAGTCATACCATATGAAGAGGAATGTAAAACAACCGAAAACAATGTGGAAGTTCAGTCTGATCTAAATCTTACTCAAGTGCAAGAACCAGTAGTTCAGTTGCCTGAAGCTAGTTATAAGGAACTGGCCGATTATAACATTTGTGATGCACCACCTCGTCCAAATGCTTATATTAGATTTATTGAGAAAAGTACTGAGGAATTAGATGGGGAAGTTGAATATGATGTTGATGAGGAAGATACTGCATGGCTGAGTATTATGAATGAAAAACGGTAATAAAATGAATACTACCTAATATAATAAATGTATTCCTTTGTATCTTTATTTTATATTTGATTATAGGGAAGCCCAAGGTTTAGCCCATGTTAGTGTAGATTCTTTAGAACTTTTGATGGATCGACTTGAAAAGGAATCCTATTTTCAGGTAAGAAAGTCAATATTTTCTTAGTTTAGTAGTTTAGTACTTACTATAAGAAAAGTGCTATATATTTAATGTTTTAGGCTGCTGTAAGTGGCCATACAGGAGGAGCTGTAGTAGATGATGACGCAGTTTGTTGTATTTGTATGGATGGTGAATGTCAAAATACTAATGTTATCCTATTCTGTGATATGTGTAATTTGGCTGTACATCAGGATTGTTATGGTGTACCGTATATACCAGAAGGGCAGTGGTTGTGCAGAAGGTTTTTATTAAAACACTGTAATTAATAGGTAAACATTTTTTTTTCATCTCTAGATGTTTGCAATCACCTAGTCGCCCTGTAGACTGTGTATTATGTCCTAATCAGGGCGGCGCTTTTAAACAAACTGATTCAGGTGCATGGGCTCATGTAGTTTGTGCTTTATGGATACCAGAAGTAAGATTTGCTAATACAGTTTTTCTAGAACCTATAGGTAAGACTGTAATATGACAATGAAACTGAGTTAAATGAGAATTTTTTTTAAAGATTCAATAGAAACCATTCCTGCTGCCAGATGGCGTTTAACTTGTTACGTATGTAAACAAAAGGGTACTGGAGCTTGTATTCAGTGTCACAGAGGTTCTTGTTATGCAGCTTTTCATGTAACTTGTGCCCAACAAGCTGGTTTATATATGAAAATGGATGCTGTTAAAGTAAGCAGTCTAAGTTTAATAAAAGATTTATTTTAAAAAATGTTGTTTTCAGGGAGGTGAAGTTGCTGGCCAACCTGTTTTAGTGCAGAAAATTGCTTTTTGTGATTCGCATGCTCCAGCCGAAGCTAAAGCTGAAAAAGGCGATCAAAAGAAAGAAGATGCTAGGAAAAAGATGATACAAGCAAGAAAAGTAGGTATTAATTCCAAAGAATTCATATAATGTTGTTTGTAAAGGTTTTAGCAAAGAAGCGTACGTCAGCACCAGTAATTCTTATACCGACAATACCGCCAGAGAGAATTCAGGAGATTGCTTCTTTGGTCACCATGACCAAGAAATCACAATTTATTCAAAGATTGATCGCGTACTGGACTCTAAAACGTCAGTATAGAAATGGCGTACCGTTATTGAGAAGATTACAAAGTGCACAGGTAACTTTATGATTTTATTTATTTATTAATGTATATTTTATATGGATGATACTGTTGAAGGGTGGAACCAGAGATTCAAATACAAGCAACGTGGATACTATTGAATTGTGCAGACAGTTAAAATACTGGCAGTGTTTGAGACAAGATTTAGAAAGGGCTAGGTAAATATTTTTGCTATAAATTTAAGGTAATATACCGGGTGGGTCTCAAAAGTGGCTCACCCCTATAACTTTTTTATTTTTTTTAGTTAAAAAAACGACATTTGGTATGTTAGTATATGACATAAATTAGGATTGATTGACATATTTGAATTATTTTCGGTCATTCTATTTTTTATATTCTATATTATTGAATTGTTTTTGGTCACTTCCTGTTTCACCGGAAATTACTACAACTTTTGATTTTTAAATGGCACCCTCGGAATTTTTTACTTTATTTGATAGAAAATAACACTCTGAATAGAATGACATATCATATATCAACTTTTGACATTTTCGCATATGGTTTATTTGAAATTATAACTTGCGGTTTGTAACGAAAATTTGACTCGAAATACCAAGTGTGTGGTATCCAATTATTCGTAAAAAAATGCTTTTTCCAAATATGCTAGTGAGCAACCCTCGTTTCATTTGAAAATATTGAGGTATGATTAAAAGTACGATTTGGGCATTTTTTAACCGGCCACGACAAGACACTAAAAACATTAGACGATCAAATCTATTTTTCCAACGCTCCCTTGATTAAGAATTAGTGTTTTTACCATAGCCATGACACTCTAGATTGAAATTTAAAATACGATTTTTATTAAGCGAGAATATAAAAAGTTGATGTATGATATGTCATTCTATTCAGAATGTCATTTTCTATTGAATAAAGTAAAAAAATACCGAGGGTGCGATTTAAAAATCAAAAGTTGTAGGAATTTCCGGTGAAACAGGAAGTGACCAAAACCAATTGAATATGTCAATCAATCCTAATTTATGTCATATACTAACATACCAAATATCGTTTTATGTCTGGATCCAAGCAGTGGTACAATATTTTTTGACTACTTCTTTACGTATTCCTGGTACTTGTTTTTCGTCTTCCACTTGTAATAGAATATTTAATTCATTTTAATTTATTATTTCCTAATGATCCTTATTAATATTCTTCTTCTTTTTATATTTACGGTCTTTAATAACTGTTCTAGCCTATTTGGGAAATATACAGAAAATAAATCCTTTACAGCCTGTAGCCTACTATTTCCTCCATAATACCAGTAAACTATTTTTTGTTTGTTTGACACGTATAAAGTCAATATTGTTGCGAGCCGGTGTGGACTCGACCTAACCTCACAATATGGCCCGCCCTCGGATGACCTTAACATCGCATAGACACCGCAATGATTCATTCGTTCGAGAAGAATCGAGACCCACTAGAATGGACGCGTACATACGAGAACATTCGAAAACCTTCTCTATGCGCCTAACGATCTTTGGACTATTCTAGATTTATTTTACCTGTCGGTATAAAAGCCGGCGGCAGTGGCCTAGAGAGGGCAGTTATAAATATAACAGTGCAGTTGACGCGCTAAAAATTCAAAATAAATTCTTAATTATAAATCGTTTGTAAATAGTTCTATAAGTCTTTATCGTTATTGTTTTTGTTAATTAGTGTTAAATAAATAGTGTTTAAATAAATTGTGACTTTCTATCCACACGGAACCGACGAAAAACGTAACAATTGGTGTCAAGTGTGGCGTGTGTGATAGACTAGAAGAATAAAAAGACTGACCATGGCTCTGAAAAAATTGTTGAAAGACTTGAAAGTGTCCGAACTGAAATGCATATTGGAAGAGAGAGAGTGCGAGACAGATGGAAAGAAAAGCATTTTGCAAGCCAGACTGAGAGACGTTTTGGTGGAGGAAGGTGAGGATCCTGAAACATTTTGCTTTGAGCTGGAAGGTGACCTTGACTCGTCATTGAAAAATTTACAAGACAATTTAAACGACAACTTGAACAATTTGAATAGTAAAATGATTAACTTGGAAGTTAATTTTAGAAGAGAAAATCAGTGATAAAATTAATATTTTGGAAGATAAGATCGCAGAAAATTCTAAAGACATACAGGCCAGCTTTAATAATAAAATACTTAATTTAGAAGAAAAGATAACAGAAAATTCCAGGGAATTAGAAGAAAAGATTATAGAGAATTCTACGGAGCTACAAGACAAAATAACACAAATTGAGGACGATGTAAATAAAAAAATCGAAATTTTAAAACAAGAAATAGAAAAGGCCAATTCACCAAAATGTCAAGAAACATCGGCACCGAAACTAGTCGAAAATAAGTATATCTCAAAGTCAGTTATTAAGCCTCCACAGTTTGACGGAAAAACCGCTTGGGCCAATTATTTTTGCCAGTTTGAGGCCGCTGCGAGAGCGAACGGATGGACAATCGCTGAAAAGGCTACCGCTTTGACTGTCGCACTGCGAGATGCGACTGATATTCTGCAGACATTGTCACCATCGGAACAGGGAGATTATCAGCAATTGGTACGACATTTAGAAATGAGGTACGGCCAAGCTCATTTGGAACATGTCTATCATTCCCAGCTAAAAAATCGCATTCATAAGTCAAATGAGTCTCTGCAGGAGTTTGAAGCCGACGTAGCCCGCCTCGTTCGCCTTGCGTACCCTGCTACGCCAGAGAATGTTATGGAGCGGTTGGCAGTACAGGCATTCTCCGACGGCTTACGTGATAACGAGACAAGACAAGCACTTCTCCTAGCCCACCCAACGCACTTGGTGGATGCTTTAGCACGTGCCCTAGAATTTGAGGCCGCGAAACAAAGTTCTCGGTCTTTAGGAAGAGTACGGGCCATCGACGAATGTTCCGACGAATCCGTGGAAGGGATTGTTCGGAAGGTAATGGACCAGTACATGGGCAAGAAGGGACCGATTCGTTGCTGGAACTGCGGACAGGTGGGACACGTGCGAAGCCGTTGTAAGGAGAAGAACGAAGAACCGGCTTCGTCGAGGTCGGAAAACTACTAAGGGTCGAAATGAAGGGGCACACGTCGACCTGTACCCAACATGCCCCAACGAAAACTGCTCAAGTCGCCTCGCTACAACACAAATTCAACAGCATTTTTGTGGATGGTTTTGTTGATGGAGAGTTCCGGACCATGCTGTTGGATACAGGTGCGACGAAAACTATCATCAGACCGGACATTCTTAAACATCGAAGAAGGTTAAAACAACACAATGGCGACTACGTACTGCTACGGGGGGCTCCGCTGCTGTCCATGGAGAAGTAAATCTTAATTTTGTTATTGGGAGCACCAGTTTTGAACATCCAGTGTTAGTAGCAGATATCGAAGATGAACTTATTCTCGGAATGAACATCATGACCACTAAAGGTTTTGACCTAAACTTCAAAGAGGGAATTTTGAAAATAAATGAGGAATAAGTGGTTCTACATCGAAAATGTGAGGAGACGCTTCGCGTGGTAGTAGCAGAAGATGTTTCGATCCCTGAGCGCTGTGAGGTATTTTTGGATGGTTGCCTGGAAGGTAAAATGAATAATGGGAGTATTATTCTGTTGGAGCCAAGGAACCATGACAGCGAAATAGGACGAGGGATCGCTGTTGGAAAAGCCCTGCTACGAGCGAAGAAAACTGTACCGGTGAGAGTAATGAATACGAATTATTATTCTGTATCCTTGAAGAAGGGAACCCTGTTAGGGTACTGTTGTTCGGTCTCCTCAGTCATTCGAAGCGTGGAAGCCTCCAAAGTTTCGACTTCAAAAATTCCGGACAAAATGGTGAAGGAGTTAGTAAACGTTAAGGGATTATCTCCCGAAAATAGTAGAAAATTGGGAAACCTGATAATCAAGTATCAAGATGTGTTTGATAAAGGAGAAGCAGGACACAGAGGTCGTACCAATTTAGTACAACATAAAATTGATACCGGAGAAGCACGACCAATCAAACAAAATCCGAGAAGACTTCCGCTCGCCAAACGTGAAGAAGCTGATAAAATCCTTCGAGAAATGAAAGAAGAGGGTGTCATCGAACCATCTAACAGCCCGTGGACATCGCCGGTAGTACTAGTAAAGAAGAAAGACGGTACCACCAGATTCTGTGTTGATTATCGGCAGCTCAATAATGGTACCAAGAAGGATAGCTATCCCCTGCCGAGGATAGACGATACTCTAGACACACTGGCGGGGTCAACGATATTCTCTACGTTAGATCTGAAGAGTGGATATTGGCAAGTCGACATGGCGCCGAAAGACAGAGAAGACAGCGTTCTCGGTGGGCTCTCCGGACTGTGGCAATTTACCGTCATGCCTTTTGGATTGTGCAACGCGCCAGCTACCTTTGAGAGACTAATGGAGTCTGTGTTAAAGGGACTATCCTGGACTACCTGTTTAGTGTACCTGGATGACATCATAGTGGTTGGGAAATCCTTTTGACGATCATCTGAAGAATTTGGAAGAAGTTTTCAAGCGACTAGGAGCTCTGGTTTGAAACTTAGCCCCAAGAAATGTCATCTGTGTCAAGAAAAGGTACACTACTTGGGCCATGTAGTCTCCTCCCAAGGAGTTGCGGTAGATCCACAGAAGACCAAGACAGTGGAAGAGTGGCCGATACCTAAAGATAAACATGAACTACGAAGCTTTTTGGGACTATGCACATACTATCGCCGTTATGTACAGTGTTTCGCCACCATCGCAAAACCATTGACCAGACTTACCGAAGGCGAGAGGCGTTTCTCTTGGGACTCAGATTCTGACGAGGCATTCCGAAAATTGAAGAAGGCACTGACTAGTGCGCCCATACTTAGCTACCCTCTAGGCAACGGAAACTTAATATTGGATACCGACGCTAGCAATGTTGCGTTAGGCGCTGTTCTGTCTCAGATCCAGGATGGTCAAGAAAAAGTCATTGGTTATTTTAGTAAGACCTTGTCAAAACCGGAAAGGAACTACTCTGTAACCAGACGAGAATTACTAGCAGTAGTTAAAGAAGTGGAACACTTCTACAAGTATCTCTATGGAAGAAAGTTCTTGTTAAGAACAGACCATGCTGCTTTGAAATGGCTTTGCAGTTTAAGAATCCTGAAGGGCAGGTAGCTAGATGGATTGAAGGATTACAAGAATTTGACTTCGACAC